TTGTTTTAAACATTTCCCCCCCGTTTTTAACTGAGAAGACGAACCCTAGATTTACAAAAGAAAAAGTATAATAAAAATGATAGGAAAGAGAAAACATATATATATAATCAAGTAAATATATTCATACACTGCCAGTTCTTAAAATGACCACTTGGATAGAAACGAATCAGTGGCTGATGGGTTAATTTTTGTGAACTACTTTCTGGGCAGGGCCAAATGAACTAGTGTGGTTTCATGTTCCCTTTTTGTGCTGCAGTTTGGGAGAATGGAAATACCCATCTTGCAAGCTTCCCTTTTTGGTAAAGTTGTGTTGGACACATGAAACATTGAAGAAAAACAGTTTTGTCCCAAACGCCAAACAAAAATACCATTCAAATGTTTTGAATCTTCTATTGAAGCAAAACTCAAAACCTTCTGAAAGTTAATCAAATGAAATAATGTAAATTCAAATCAAGCTCTTTGTTACTTGTTTTCACTATAGGACCATTAAAAATGGATGTCATGATACTCCTTGTTAACCATCTAACTTACTGGGCAAAAATTAAGAGTCTGAACCTTTGCCCAAACTAGCTTCCTTATATCCAGGGAACATATCTATTATTTGCGGAAAGAAGAGCATGAATTGGAGCTGAATTTTATATGGCAATCTAGCCAGAGCTACAGTACATCAATTACTTTGATATGGATTATTTAGTCCTAGGGACTACTTGTTATGAAGAATGGTACAGTAAACACCAATAGAGTTCTACAACTTCTTTAGCAGTTAACCTAGCAACGGAGCTTCCTATTATGTCAACAGCGTACGAAGAAAGGGGATAATGATTTTGCTGACGTAGTCTTAATGTCAGCAATAAAACTACAGCTTAATCTTGAATCTGTATGCTTGAGTGCATAGCCTCATCTCAGATTTATCTAGCACACTCCAGCAGGGTGATTCATCAGAATTTAAGGGAAGCAACTTGGTTTTGATACTGCTCATTATGTAACATTTAGCATTATTCTGATCAAGATTTAGAGGATGGAATATAGTTTTTGACAACCATACACTTTAGGCATGGCACCAGAAGAGACAGCTGGCTCACCACACTTAGATTACATTAATTTTTTATTAAAGAAAAAAAAACACCAGTTCCAATTAGATATACTTTTAATTATTTTGTGAAAAACATACTTTGTGATGATGTAAAAACTGTTGCCAAAATTGTTTTAATCTTTCAGTAATCCACAAAATTAAGCCTACAACCTTTTGGGCCAGACAGTTATGCTATACAGGGATGTCAAACTCATGTCTTCACGGCGGCGTCATGTGATATATCGGGACTTTTCCCCCCTTCGCTAAACTGGGCATGGGGTGGCCAGCACGTGACGTATCTGGTCTGCGGGCCGGGAGTTTAACAGCCTTGTGCTATATCATGCAATGTTCTTGCTTTGAATTACTTATCAAGAACATTCATTTCGAGCTTTCTTTCCAAAGGGTGGGGCAAATATTTTACAATTCACCGCCAATAAACACATTGCAAGTTTCACTAGAAGAGGCAAGACAAAGTTTTTTTTAAAAAAACTTATTACACATTCCAGCTCCTTGATAGAAAAAAAAAATCTCAAGTGGGCAGACCAATTAAGCAAGTGGAAAGCAAACTTGAAGAAGAAAGTTGCTTTATAGAGCTAATCCAGAATGGCTTTGAAATCTTCATATAATGACGGCTGTATTACTTCAATAAGCAGTTGCATAGTAGTTTTTGGAATTTGGCGAGTCAACTGTAATTTACCTACAAGGAAAGATTAACCAATTACTTCTTTAGTTAGGCCAACAAGTTATTTTGAACAAATGTTCCAGATCATCAAGTACCTGGGCTTTAGAGAAAAGTCCTGAAAAAGTCCTATATAGGTAGTCCTCGACTTACAGCAATTAATTTAGTGACTGTTCAAAGTTACAACAGCACTGAAAAAAGTGACTTATGACCGTTTTTCACACTTACGACCTTTACAGCATTCCCCATGGTCACATGATCAACATTCAGATGCTTGGCAAGTGGTTCATATTTATGACGGTTGCAATGTCTTGGGGTCATGTGATCAAGCTTTTGTGACCTTCTGACAAGTCAACTCAATAGGGAAGCCAGATTCACTTAACAACCATGTTACTAATTTAATAAATGCAATGATTGGCTTAATTGTGGCAAGAAAAGTTGTAAAATGGGGCAAACTCATTTAGCAAATGTTTCACTTAGCAATATAAATTTTGGGCTTAATTGTGGTCATAACTCGAGACCTATCTGTAGTCATCTTCCTTCTATAGGGCTAACTATTGATATCTTTGGAAATAATTTGTTTGAATATTTCATAAAAAAATAAAATAAAAAATAATGAATTAAATCACAAAAATTTCCAACAGCCATATGGCTCAACTCTGCTAAGAATAATCAATATCATTCATTCATTCACCCATGCATTCATTCTGTTGTTATTACGCTTAGCATGTGTCTCGCTTGGTTGCAAAGTCCATTTATTTTGCATTGTGCTTGCTTCAATTCACATAATGAAACTATCAATGCATGATGTGCTAAATTTTGGGTTTGAGCCAGTTTGTTCAAGAAGCTGATTTGGACCGTGTGTGTGTGTACTGTATAAATGAAAGGACTGCTAAATTTTGGTTATGCGTCACCAAATTGTTGTTAATTCTTCATGACCAAATAGATAAATTATCTCCATGATGATCTATCCCTAACTTGTTCTTTTCAGGTCTTCCAAAAGCTCTACTTACTGCTGTGAATGAGTCTTATCTGTCTTCTGGTCGTCCTCTTCTTCTCTTCCCTTCTACCTTTCCCATGACAACCTTCTCCAGAGAATTAGATCTTTGCAGGATAATTTTAGTCTGGTCCCTTGAATTAGAACTCATTTTTGATGATCTATTACTTTCCACAGTATTCTCAGGAGGCGTCTCTAATAACCACAGTTCAAAAATGTCCTGCACCTTTTCAAAGTCCATCTTTATTTTCCATAGGGTGTCACAGAGAATGTCATGATTTACTCAATTCTGATCTTTGTAGGTATACATAGTTCTTGACTAATGACCACAATTGAGCACGTAATTTTGGTCGTAAATTGTTGCAGTTTTACTATGGTCGCTAAGCAAGCCCCTGTGGTTAAGAGAATCACTTGGTCGCTAAGTGAATAACTTAGCAATTTACTAAGTTAGTTAGTAACTGAATGGCTTGCCTCCAAATGTTGTGGGTGCTCCATCACTGGAGGTTTTTAAGAAGAGCTTGTATAGCCATTTGACCAGAATGGTAGAGGGTCTCCTTCTTGAGTAGGTGGGTAGAAGACTTCCAAGGACGCTTCCAACATTGTTATTCTGTATTTGGTCCCAAGTCTAATGGCCCTTTTTTGCCCAAAAATGTCAGCGTCACAAAACACAATCAAATGACTATGGATTTTACAACTGCTCATAAATGTAAGCCAGTTGCTAAATGCTGAAAATGCAACTACTGGACTGAGGAGATGGCGTGGCAGTCGTAATTTTTGAGGATATTTCTCGACTGCTTGTTCCGTTATCGTTCATTATTGATCCTAAAAGGCGGAAGTCATCCACCACTTTGATATCTTTATTGCCAATTCTAAGGCTGGCTGTTCTACCTCTTGCCATGAGTTTGGTCTATATGTTTATAATTTTAGTCCCATTTTTTCATGGTGCTTCTTGACTTTTAGAGCTTGCAAATCCTTTGCATTTTCAAATTTAATTTCAAAAGACATTGTGATGTAATGTAAGGTTTTGGATTAGGAGCAGGAGGCCCAGGTGTTAGTTCTCCCTTGGGCACGGAAGTCACTTGTGAGAACTTGGCCTTAAACTATGATTTCAAAAAAACACCTCTCTACCTATCTGCCCTGAATAAGTGTGCTGATTATGGTTTATAACTTTCAAGAAGAGGCCTTCCTCTTGCAGTGGATTGATTTGGACTGATAATTTAAAAAAACACATATGCACATACTTTTATTGCAGGGAAAATGCCAGTCATGATGCAGATAACATCTCCCAGTTAAAGAAAAAACATCTAGGTAATATTAACTTTAGATCATAAAAATCTCATTATTGTACCAACATTCCATTTATAAATGAAACTTAGGACAGAGTTCTCTGTATGTTCACTAAAGGAAAAATAAAATTTTCTTAAAAATTTATACTAATTAACATGGTAACTAGAATTAATTTGACATAGGTTTGCATTTTTAATTGAAAATTAAAATAAGAAAATAATCCTTTTGTATATTGCTAACAGGGTTTTTATTGAAGTGGTATATATAATATTATACTCAATAGCACAATTGGAAATAGAGATAATACTTTGAGAGCATAGTAGCAGTTGATGAGATTACACTGCTTATATAGACTCTATTGAGGTGGACAGATACATTTTCTGATTTGCACAAGCAGATATAATGCTTATGTCAGCCTACCAGTTGTTAGAAGCAACCTGTTATTTGCACCTTAAACTAGATTGAGGCTGAATAAAGAGTTACCCTCTGCTTGTCCCCTATGTTAGCCAAACAATCTACCAAGGAATGGTCGCCACAGTTCTGCTAGTTAGTGAAGTTGCAGTAGGTAGGGCGATAAAACTAATTCTAGTCTCCCTCCTCAAATGATGTGGAAAGAATAACTACATCTGACAGGGCTTACAGAAAGATGATATCTAAGGTCCACAATCATGAAACTAATCATCATATTGTACATAAAATGTATTCACACTCTATGTATTCACTTAAAAACATCTAAAAAGTATGAAGAACATCAAAGGAAGGAAATACTTACACTGCCTGAGAGGTCCAAGAAGACACTTGTAAATCACCTTGTGATTTGCCAATTTAGTGCTGAAGGCATGATAGGAGAGCCACTGGACTGCTTTGTAAGAAAGTGGAACTGAACTACCTGTTACAAAGAAAGAAAGAAAGAAAGAAAGAAAGAAAGAAAGAAAGAAAGAAAAAAAGAAAGAAAGAAAGAAAGAAAAAGAAAGAAAGAAAGAAAGAAAGAAAGAAAGAAAGAAAGAAAGAAATCCCCCAAACTTATAAATGTATTTTGTGATTTTATACAACTGTTTCTCTATAAAGCATTACTACTTTGGCACTCTTATTGCAGCAAATGAAGGGACCAACCAGACTGACATTTGAATGTGATGCCAGTTATTTCATTTTACCTGGGGGGGGGGAGCAAAAAATAATAACAACCATGCTGTTGCCACCCCTGTGGGAGAATGATTGGGACCACAGTACACATGGCAGATTTAACTCCTCACGATATGCTGATGTCAAAATACATTGTTGTATCCAGCAGTAACCAGTGAGATCTTCCTTTCCAAGCCAAAGTACACCTCACAGAGGAAGCAATCACTTCAGCAGACAAAAAAAGGGCTTAACTGATATTTGATAAGGTTACCTAGCTGGGCAATGAAATGTCTGCAAGCAATCAAGCTTAGAGAGCACTAAGGACTCCAGTTAACTGCACTTCTCTTAATGCTGTAGTCCCACTCTGTATTCTTAGAGGCTATTTGAAGGGAAAGGGGAATAGGAACTTCCAATAATGCAACTTGCAGTTTAATTTGCTTTTAAAAAAGGAAAAAAGAGCTATTTTGCTGTAGTGGTTAAGATATTGGTTTAGAAACCAGGAGACTATAAGTTCTACACCTACTTTAGGCACAAAGTCAGCTAGAATACCTTGGGCTAGTCAATCTCTCTCGGCCCAGGAAGGAGTCCATATCAAACCACTTCAGAAATCTTGTCAACATTATTACAGGGACTGACTAGGTAATAGAAGGCATACAAAAAAAAAAAAAAGTCAGCCCGGGGAGCCATTTTAAACAGGGTATCGGGCTCAAAAGATCACCTACCTGCATTTTTAGCTTTTAGAACAGAGAAGCAGCATGAAGCACTATCAGAGATGACCGTCAGGAAGAAACGTGGGTTATTTTTGATGTGGTGATGAAATGGGAGCTGGAGAACACAGGCATGAAATCTAGCATGAAAAAAGCCACATATATTCCTTGCTTATAAGGGTTTCATATGTACCGGGATTTAATGAATTTAGAATTCTGAGGTGGAGTTTGTACTGGATCAAGTCAAAGAATTGCATGTGAGGGGGTGGCTTTAAGGCCAGCACATATACGGACTCTTAAGGGACTCCCTACTGCTTGGGAACTGTTCTCCATAAACTCTTGAACTGAATAGTAACACAACACAGTGAGAAGAAAGCACCAAACTTCTCCTTCCATTTGGCCTTGACCAAAGGGTATGTTCCATAATTCTGATAAGCAAATGTTTGCAGAGAGGGGAGAGAGGGAGGAAAAAATGAATAAACCCTTGCAAGAGAAAAGATTTGTTCAATTGTAAAGTCATTAAATGTTTATCAGTACTAAAGAAAGTGAAGATGGGAATTCTAATGCAGTAAGCAAGGGCAAGGCAGGAAGATGCAGGTCAAAGCCCAGACAGATTTTATCCACACACAATGTTCCAGAGGCAAAACTAGTTAATAAATTACATGCTTACCCTCTGCTTTTCGACAGCAGAAGGCATGAGGAGTGGGAGTGGAGAGCAGCTGCATATTCAGTTGTTTGAACTGACATAAACTGACATCAGTTTTGATCTAAGAATGATGCAGATGCATTCCTAATAACATTTACTTAACCAAGAAAGCTCCAAATGCCTACATTGCCCACAATGAAGTGCAGGGAAACTTGCACAATAGCAGTTCTGAGGAGGCCTTCTGTATTTTGCCATCACTACATGCTGCTATCCCTTTCTAACTGCCCCTGTTTTTTCCCAACTAAACTGATCTGTTTAGACTCAAAGATTTCCCAGGTAATGAAACCAAACTCATGTCCACTTAAGTTATTTTACAATAGTTTGCTTTTTTGCACTGGCAGATTTCTTGGTGAAAATTTCTTGTGAATATTTGAAAAAAAAAAAAACCTGTTACCACAGACATAGAAGAAAAAGCATTTTCTAGTAAAACTCTGGATCAGAGGAACAAGGGGCAGCTCAAATATTTTCCAGAGAACAGATCACTACTAGGATTTGGTCTAAAGGAAATTGTAAAGTTAAATCTCTTATTTATAGATGGCCAGGTTAAAGGTAAAAGTTTGGGGAAGAAGCAGACACTATGAAAACTGTTCCACTGGTGGTTTATTTGTGTGAGGTGGGGGATAAATTGACAAAGGAAAAATGGTTGTAGGAAACAGGTAAGTGTGTACTTTAAAGAGCATATACTTGAGGAAACATAGGAAGTACTTTCAAGTAATTGGGAGCTCTGGAACTAAAGGCAGTTCATCCCTTTTAGAAAAATCACTATATAATATTATCTTAAAGAACAGGCAAGTATTATTTGTGGGACTCATAAGTCATTAAAGCATCTCCCCAATCTCCAGATGAATGGACAATAATATCAGTAATTACCATTAAAAAAAAAATCCGAGAACTGCCAATTCTATCTGTATTACAACTGCAGCATTAGAAAGCATTATCAGGAGGAATATGGGTCAATACTGGAAGTTAATAATGAAGGCTGTCCAGATAATGCAGATCCTCTTGGAGAGTATGGTAATATATTGCAATGTTTATTATGCTAGATGTATTCAAAACACTGCATTAAAGGGCCAGAGCCCAGCACATTCAAAAGCAACTTTGAGGAAGTGTAGTATGACATCTTCCTAGCCCACATCACATTCCAATGGCAATTAACAGGGCTTTAAAGTTACCATGCTTACCTGTAGGCCTGCAGTAGTAGTATCTTGTAAATATTAATGCATACTGTCCTAAGGCTATTGATCTAAATTTGGAGCAGGGAAAATAGGAAAGAGATATAATAAAATGTTTCTCCAGTGCAAACAAATAGGCATTAAATCAAATAAAATCAAAATGGTAGATTGAGGGATATAAAGTATCTTATATAGTGATGCCAAGATAACTGGAATGACATCAGTTTCTGGTTCAAGTCGATTGTGGTAGCACTAAATATCTAGATTTGACGGTATGTTTGAGATCACTGTGCATATAATGCACTTTTTAGGCATCCCTGAATTGTGTATTCTCTTACCTGTAAATCTATAAATAAAGGATGACATTTTAGCTGCAAGACTGCAAGCAATTTGTTTCTCATGTTCACACCAGCTTTTCTAGTAGAGTTGAAACATAGGCTAGACCTGATAGATGTATAAGCATAACTGCAGTGAAAAGATAAGTGGAAAAGAAGATCAATATAATTTAGGCATCATTATAGCTAATTAGAATTTTTTTCCTATTACAAGAATATATTTGGCTTTTACGAAATTCAAAACATGGATATTTGAAATAATGGCCATGTAGAGAAACATTAGATTCTTCAAAACTAGAAGGTATCTTAAGCATTTTGATAGCAAGCTATAACTTTAAGAGAACTGGCTAATTATTTGTAATATTACACAGATAGTTCTGGACTTATGGAGATCACTTTGAGTTTCCCTGAATTTAGGATTGTTGTTGGGTTATCTGCCTCGTCCTCTTATTGCACAAATTCCTATATATGGTTTCTAGTCACTCTTCAAACTGTTACAGCTCAAACAACTTATCTATCAGTGTTATCATCTTGATGGTGCAATTCAGATTAAAAAATATAAAATCTTGCAACCTGCTGAATGGTCAACTCTATTAATTCAAATGATTCCTTCACAGAAATCTGAAATATCCCATTATTAGTTCTCCACAAATTAGTCTATTTATCAAAAAATGCACTCTTATTGACTATGTGATAAGATATTTTTTGTGCTAGCCAAATTTAATCTGCAAACACAGCAAGGATTTAAGTTTTATATCAGTCAGAATGAATCAATTTCAGGTTATAGAAGATGTTTGAAAGCTTACTTTTTGTTTCTAATAATGTATATTACTTAGGCTATCAAGTTATTTTAGTTGAGTCATCATCTATTTCTTAATTTATATAGATTAATCTGTGTATTAGGAAACATTTTGGGGGGATAATGTGGTTTTAAATGATTTTAAATTTAATAAAAGTCAAATGCACAACTGACTATTTCCATTATGATTTTATATTTCCTATTCTAACTAACTTGCCACAACCAGCTTTTGAGAATAAGCAAATATGCCCTTTACCTATGTGCCATTGTTTAATTTAACTTTGCCCACTAAATTTTGCGTCATTGATTCAGCCATTAAATCTTTGTTTTAAAGATACTCACTGATTAAAGCATGCAGTCTTAATATTAATGCAATGACTATTCCTGAATAGTACATACCTGGAGTAATCACAGTAAATTTCAAGAGTCTGTGAATTAATTAATAATCCACACCATGGGATAACACAATGAGCTGGTAATTGTTTGAACTCCAAGCAACCTGGAACATTTTCATCCACCGGAAAATTCACCACAGTCTTAGAGGGATTTATAACAAAGCCATACTCTGGAATGCCTTTGGCTAGAGTCCTAAGTAAATGAAAATACATATTCTGAATTGCTACCTGAAAATATATGCATCATGTGCTCCACTACAATAATTAACTGCACATATACATATGATAAATTCCTCCAAATACGTTGTCAGCTATATAGTCTCTCAAAAAATGGCATCTTCCTGTTGTATTCAAAATGCATCCCCAGAATTTTAATATTGTTAGAGGCGATAGCTGGGGAAAGCTGCTGTAGGTCAAAGGTAGGTTAGGTTTTGATGTCAAATATTAGAATTACTAATTTTAAGCAAGATAACAATAACCCTAAAATATAAGAACTTTATAACCTCCTCTGCCCCCCGCAGTTAGCCTTTCTTCAGTTATGTGAATTTAACCACTTCTATTTGTTTTCTCTCTTATTTTATAAAGTCTACTTTCGTTTTGCTAAGCATGAAAGGTGCAAGGACTGATCGCTATATTTAGAATCAATGTACCAGCAGGATCATAACCCATTCTTTTCAAGGATATCATTGCTACCTCAATGGGACTTTATTGAAAGTTTCATTCAGTTTGTCTCCTCTGCATATATTCTAAAGAAAGCATATATTTAAAAGAAGGCATTTTAATTACACTTTTATGGAATGCTGTATCCATGTAGGAAAAAGAAGAGTAGAACAGGACAAGGTAGGAATGTTTTCATTCCTTTGTGCACAAAAACTTAAAACTCAAGGATAGATGATTAAATCAATCATTAAAAATAGTATATTTCATTGTCATACCTCAGAAATGTTTTTGCTTGTTCTAAATGAGGTGTAACAAGCAGAAAATCATCCGTTAAACGCATCAGTACTCTGTAATGTTAAAAAAAAGTTAATATCTTGGTCTTGGGTACATTTAAATTTTAAAGAATGAATGCATTGCTCATAGTCTTCATTTTTCAATTACTTGAGGTAAAGGTAATATACATATTATCACTGTTACATATTCTATTATCCAAATCTGCAATATAAAAAAATGTACCAGTGCTATAAATTAACCTTTCACCCATACATAAAATTGGCACACACACACAAAACCAGGATTGTAATTTCTCATCATCCATCACAATGATGGATGAATCCAATTTCTGTGTTTAATTCCCATATGATGAGAAGCTGATTGGACTTGAATCTGGGCAGAGGAATAATTTGGGGCAAAAAAAAACCTAACTCAAGCTTTTCTGACAACTTAAGTAAGGATAATAGGATATGCTTCGGTTTTTGCAGACCTTCTCCATACCATCTGCCAGACCTCAGCATCAAGCTAAAGATAAAAATAAAGACATCCTTGGATCAAATGTGGCTTAAATTGTATGTGTCCACATAATCTTCCTGGCAGCAAAAGTGCTTTCTCACTGCCTTTCTCCCAGATGGTTTTCAGACTTTTCAATTCAGGCTATGCCTTCAGAATTTCTGGTAGCCTCTCATCCAAGCATTAGCCAGCAGTATAATAATTATTACCTATAATAAAAAAACTTCCTAAATATCTTGCCAATATCTTAATTTTGCCAGAAATCCTGATACACTGCAAGCAAATCAGATAAACTTTTACTCTACACACGTCTAAGAAAGGTTGTATTAAGAACGCTTATCCCAGCACATGCATAGAAGGGAAAATGCCACCCTCCCCAAAGTCTCAAAATAATTTAGTTTTGGGTCAAAGTGGGAGAAGAGGATACAGTCATTGTTGGCTCTTGCACAACTTTATACAGTGGTCCACATATAGCCAAAAGTAGATGCCCTCGATGTGTTTTAATGGCCTGGAGTAACATGTCAATATTTACTTGTAAGAAAGACACAAATATAGGATGTGCTTATTGCTTGATCCAGAAAGACTTGACCAAGTGCTGGTCTTTTATTTCATTTCATGCTGCGCTTTTGAAGAAAGAAACTCTGCATTCTTATGTGTGTACCAGAGAATCTGGTTTGGCATTGCTTATAGCAAAAGATGATAACCTTTTATTCCTTCATATTCTGAAATGGATTCTGGAAGGAGTATTTTGCCAGAAATGCCATTATTTTTATGAAGTGCTAGCAAAAGAGACTTTTGTCAGATTCCTGGAGACTGCTTGAAATGCAGCTTTGAAAATAGTTTACATTCTGATGCAGATACATATGGTTATTGGAGAGGTGGTAGTAGTGGCATGTGTCATTACATAACACAAGTGAGGCAAATTAGTGACATCATGCAATTGACACAATATGATTTGCATAAATTTGATTTCACAGTGACACAGGAAACATTATAGCTTCAACCTATGTAGAGTCTTCCTATGTTTCAAGTTGGCTAGTTTGCCTTACTGTTTCTCAATTTACATCTGTTGGATTATAATTTGATAGACAGAATTGGAGCAGGTATGGGCTCTGATCTCCAATATGCTTGGCAGACATGCAGGGGGAAATAATGCTGGGTAATCCTTCCATCTCCTTTTGTCCTTAATTGGAAGAGTTTATGCTGGGCTTTATGTTATTATCTAAGTAATGAATGATACTTAACTTGTATAAAGATTCTAGCACAAGAGAGTTTGGTCCTTTGGTAACGGCTAATATGCAGAATAACACCTTACCCGTCCCTTTGCACATTGCACAGTAACTTATTCTCCATGTCTCCATAGCAGAGGTTGCAAAGCAGAGTTGATAAAATGGAGCCCTGGGGAATTCCACAACGCTGCACATAGTACCTGAGAAATGCCAAGAACCGAAAGCCTGCTGTCGTTAAGAACTCAAATCTGGTAGCAAAACAAAGTTACTTATAATAAGGCTGATCATTTCACTGCAATAAGGAAGTATTTTCTGATGGGCAAATTGTGTATCATATGAGAAACATATGACATTGACAATGATTTCCCTGTAAATAGAGTGAGTAAATGGGACTTGAGCTGGAATCTTGATGCAAGGGACAGATAATAGGCTTTTCTTTATTTCTTTATTTATTTTTTATTGCACTTTTTCTCTTTACATATCTGTTACATTTTTAACAGATCTGTGACATTCATACAACTAGAATCAATATTCAATACATTGTATACATTCTATTTCTAAAAGTTATATTCCTTTATGTACATTTCCATTCCTTATTTCTATTATCTATCCATTCATACCATTTTTCCCATACCGCATAATATTCCGGGTCATCCTTTCCCTTTAACTCTAATGTGAGTTTGTCCATTTCCTTGCAATCAAATATTTTTTGAATTACTAATCCCTCTGGTGGTATACGATCTTTCTTCCAATACTGCGCAAAAGCAATCCTTGCTGCCGTTAATATATTTAGCATCAAATATTTTATCTTTCTATTATATTTCGCCCAAAATATCCCCAGGAGAAACAATTCCGGTTTAAGTTGTATTTGACACTTAGTTAAATCCTGCAGCCATTCCTGTATCTTCATCCAATATCTTTTCGCTCCGGGACATGACCACCATGAGTGAAAGAAGGTACCTTGTTTCTGTTTGCATTTGCAACATTTTGGATTTAAATTTGGATACATCTTGGCCAGCCTCACTGGCGCTAAATGCCAATGATAAAACATCTTATATTGGTTTTCTTTATAGGCCACAAATAGGCTTTTCTATTAGGACAAGACTGTCCCAAAATTCTGTTGGATAGCAAAATGCAGAATTCTGAACCAGTGTATTGCTCCATCTACTCAACATTCCCTCAAGTAAGCACCTATTTGTCTCCCTCCACCTTGCAATAAAGATTCACACTGGTATCTCATGGGCTTCTCCCTAACTACTTCCTCTCTTTACCTTGAACTACACATGCAGTAGCATGAAACAGAATATTTCTGACATAGCTGAATAGACAACTTACCTAACTATACTTTTAAGTTTGTGGATCATGAAAATATTGTTAAAATCTTCTGCAGAAGATGCATTCAAAACGCTGGAGCGAGGTCTAACTATCTGATGGATTTGGTCTATTTGTATTTAAAATAAACCTTAGTATATGGGACAACAGTAAATATTTCACTTCCCACTTGCAGATACATTCCACACCACCAATCAGGATAATTTTCCTAGGCTGGGGGAAGAGCATGGGGGCGGCAGAATAACTGTCTATTTAATGAAGAGAGAGGAAGAGAAATAAATTTAAAGGGCTTTTGGGGAAGGGATGGCAAATTGAAGCTAGCTCTGCAAAAGTGGAGCCAATGACCATGGTAAAGACCAAGAACCAGTGAGCAGACCAGTTCTTTGGAACCTCTCTGGAGGAAGATGAGATCACCCACATGTGCTTGAGACAGCTGCTCCTCATCAGAAGACCACAGAACAGTGGTTTTCTGCAGATCTGAATTTACATATATCTTATAACTGTGACAGAACATTTTAAAGGACCTTAAATTCACAAATCCCACTTTCTAATCAGTTTTGGAAACTATCTATTAACTATCTTAAAGCTACTACAGATCCTCAGAATTACAAGTTTGAGAAATCTTCATTGGGTGAATTTATCTTCAACTCTGAACAAAAGAAGGATTACAAATTTAAGAAGCAAAAGAATTTGAAATAAACAGCAAAGAAGTTGAGTAAGATTTTGATCTTGGAAATATATGAACGGATTAAGGATCCAGATAAATTTGGGTTATTGACCTTTACCCTAAGATTTTGCAACTAACTATAAATAATAAATAACTTCTCATGGGGAACAGGCTTATTTTGGCTATCCTGGCTATTACAAGTCATAATAAAAGATAAGTGAAGATTTTAGGAATTGGATAGTAGAGTGGCCTAAAGCAGAAGAAAAAAAACATATAAACGCTGGAATTTACAAAATGACATAAATTATTATAACATCAAAAATATTAAAGAATCTAGTTATGCCAATAGGGAATATTATATTAATAACAATAACTTCTCAGCCAAAATATTCTGCAATATACTCTAAGTCTTTGCAAGATTTTTTTGGTGGTTTAACAACAGTCAGTCACCATCTAATACTAGACAAAGATTTCAGGAAAGGAGGTGGGGTGGAAGGAAATGGAAGAAAAGATCTTGAAAAGATATTTTCAGAAGACTTTGCCTGCATAAATGTTTTTCAAGTTTTCTAAGGAAAAACAACATGCACTGCTTAATTGCCTTCTCAAAGATGATACTATTTCATATGGTTCAATAAATTGCATATGCTGTTAAGTCCATAAACTTTTTTGGGAAAGCCTTTGAGGCACTACATGGGAGCTGCATAAACAGACAGAGCAGGGCATGGATATAAGAACCGATACAATTGACATTAGTATGTCAAGAAGAAAATGTAGATAAGCCAGTGGTATGTTTGGAAGTATTTCTTCTTTCACGTTTGTAAGTTGATTTCCCAATACAACGTCTGCCACCATTTGAATAAGCGTATTCATCCCTATCCCCAGTGCTTAGATGCTCCTCTTTGTCCAGAGTTTACGTAAGTTCATTCCTGCCCTCTAATCTCTGTCTCATCTCCTAAATGCTCTACGTTTGCCCTCTACTATATCCTAACCTATGTTTTAGATAAATTGGTTCTTCTCCAATTAGTAATGGAATGAATATATACATTTCAGGACATATCTGAACGAATTCAAGAGGAAAAGCTGGCTGCCTAAGCACAGAGTGCTCTGAGGTCAGAATCAGTTTAAATCCTGGCAGATGTTCTGGCTTCTACCCTCAAGAGGGTTAAGAATGAGCTTTAGAAGAAAGGATTATTTGAAAATCACACAGCAAAATGAATTGAAAATGAAAGGACTTGGGGAAAAAAAGAAACAAAATGAAGAGCAAAATAATAAAATGCCTGTATGTCACCAAGAAAAATAATCATTGTTGCTTTACACGCCATCAAAAGTGGCAAGAATAGTAATTGCTAAAGAAAAAATCAGCAACAACAGTCTAAATAGTTCTGTTAATCTCCAAAAAAGAAGACACCAAAGCCTTTAGTCCGTGTTTGAACTTCATAGCCCACTGAGAGTTTTGCAACCTTTGACAATAGCTTCATTCCCTCAATTGTACAATGGGAATGAAATAATTAACATATCTGACAAGAGATAAGCAGGTCAAGAAGATAAATGTTGCCAATTCAGCTTCTGCACACAGCCTAGTGAAGAAATCCAAAGTTCCTTAAGGTCAATAAATTCTCCAACCTAGGTTCCTCAGTTTAGAAAATGGTGAGTTAGAACCATAGAATTTGTCACTAACTAACCATTTTAAAAAGTGCAGGCACAAATTCATGGCAAATCAATTGGTCCTCTCCAAGATGATTATATAATATTTCTTGTAATAAAGGCAGCAGGGCTTTCAGTAATAATTGCTAAAGAATATGGGTGGGAGGATTTTCAGATGCTCAGTCTGTGGCTCTCAGGGGCCACCTAGTGGGCCATTGTGGGAAAAAGTGAAAGGGTTTGGGGCCCTTACCCAACTGGGTTCTCTTTAAACTCCTGCCCCAATTAAAACCCAATCAAAAGCAAGTTGCCAGGTGAAACATTCTTATAAAGTTTAGAATAAACATGTACCTGTCCTTAATCTTCAGGATATTATTATGGATCAACTGCAAGAAAAACTCACGAAGGCTAGAACTGCTTTCCTTCAGAAAAACACTCTGCAGTAGCAAAAGGAAAAAGCAAATATAAAAACAGCCCAGGTAAAATATTCTTAAATGAGACTTGTGCATTTTGGGGTTGCCAAATCAGTAAATTAAGTGAAGAAATCCCTTCCTCCTACTTTGCAATTAATTACTGTCCCTTGATAATTATCGCCTACTTTATTAGGAAGGAAGGGGGAGGGGAATGTAATTGCAAAAGACATAAATCATCTTCTGATGTGATAACAAGAAACAAACCAAATTAGGCAAAACATCCATACACATCTATGTAACTCAGGGTCATAATATTAGCCCAACTATAGTTTTCAACATGGATTATTTGCAATATGTATATTTAAAGGTCCAGTATGTGGGGGTACCACATGAAAGAAAAAAACTTGTTTAAAAATTAAAAATACTTATAATCATACTCTATAATCGACCACTGACCATGGTACCATGCTGCAGCGGTTGAGGGGGTTAGGAATTGGAGGTACCGTGTTACGGTGGTTCTCCTCCTACCTCTCAGACCGCTCGCAGTTTGTGTTGGCAGGGGGGCAGAGGTCGACCTCGAGGCACCTCGCTTGGGGGATGCTGCAGGGGTCGGTCCTCTCGCCCCTTCTGTTCAACATTTATGTGAAGCTGCTGGGTGAGATCATCCGTGGTTTTGGGGTGAGAGTCCACCAGTACGCTGATGACACCCAGCTGTACATCTCCACCCCCACCCCAAACCACCCCAATGATGCCCTTGACGTGATGTCCTGCTGCCTGGAGGCCGTGCGGGTCTAGATGGGGAGAAATAGGCTCAAACTCAACCCTTCCAAGACTGAGTGGCTGTGGCTTCCGGCATCCCGGTATAGTCAGCTGGTGCCATCGCTGACTATTGGGGGTGAATCTTTGCCCCCCACAGAGAGGGGCAAAGAGAGTTGCGTCTCTTTCTGGACCGGGACGCCTTGCGCACGGTCACTCACGCCCTCGTCACCTCCCGTCTGGACTACTGTAATGCTCTCTACATGGGGCTCCCCTTGAAGAGCACTCGGAAGCTCCAACTGGTCCAGAATGCGGCCGTGCGGGTGGTTATGGGCGCACCTCGTTACGCCCATGTAACACCTCTCCTGCGCGAGCTGCACTGGCTCCCAGCGGTCTTCCGAGTGCAAGTCAAGGTGTTGGTTACCACCTTTAAAGTGCATAGGACCAGGGTATCTATGGGACCGCCTTCTGCCACCAACAGCCTCCCACCGACCAGTTCGCTCCCACAGAGAGGGACTCCTCAGGGTACCATCGGCCAAGTTATGTCGGCTGGCGACACCCAGGAGGAGAGCCTTCTCTGTCGGAGCTCCTGCCCTTTGGAATGAATTGCCCCCGGACATTCGTAACATCTCTGACCTCCGGGTCTTCCGCTGTGCCCTCAAGACCCTACTGTTCCGACAGGCGGGGCTGTCTAACTGAATGATTTTAAATTGGGTTTTAATTTTGGGTTTTAAATTTCGGCCAAAACTATTTAATGATTTTAATTAATTTTAACCATGATATCTGTATATTTATGTTTTAATTCTGGCTGTACACCGCCCCGAGTCTTTTGGGAGAAGGGCAGTATATAAATATAATATAATAATAATAATAATAATAATAATAATAATAATAATAATAATAATATGATAAATAACCTATAATAAAATAAGGATATCCATCAAAAGGATGCTGTATGTTACTACCATCTAGTGGCAGTAATTGGCAATAACATCCAATCAGCTATACTCAAAGGTAAATTCCAATAAACATATGTATGTACACTGTCAATTGAAAGGGAATTGATAGAACACTTGAATGGGCCCCATTTGAGACTATATAAATGTGCAGTTCAAAAGGTATAAATTTTATATATGCAAATGTTAAGGTTTCTTATAAATTTCCCTTTGACATTTGGAATAACTTTGACATCTTGATACCCATTAAGATATATTGAAGCATTAAAGCAAGACAGAAACCAGGAGGGAAAAAAATGAGGCGTGTTGAACTTTGAACCAGGTTTGTAACTGTTTAACATTTTAAGATACAGTGAGAGGCAGCTTTCAGATTTGCAACCAAATTTTCTCAGGACCAGTGTTTAAATTGAAAAGCTCTCTGAGAGTTTGCTGAAAAACAGGCAGATGTTTGTAAATTCTTTTTTTCAAAAATATAAATTCTAGCTGTAAAATTACCTGTTCAATGATTATAGCATTTCTCAGCGAAGTGCTCTGTTGAAGATGAGATACAAACTGTTTCATTCCATCTATAAACTCATTGTAAGTTGAGACCTATAAAAACATTCAAATTAAGTTATTTTAACTTCAGAAAAGACTATAATATATAAGGTAAAACAGGAAAAGGTAAGATATCTGAGTAAAAAATTATCAATAATTTTCAGACATAGAAATTAATATTCAAAAGACTTCTCTGATAATGCCCATGATTAAAAACATAACTGGGGTGAAAACAGACTGGCCATTTAGTTTATATCAAACAGAATGAAAAAAGCTCTCTTTAAAATCTATCTAAAAAGTATAATGAACACCACTGGATATTAAAGAACATTGTTTGGAGTCCATAAAATGGCTATACTGTTCTTATAGCCCATAAAATGGCTGCTTTCTCCCAGAGACTGTACTGTATACCTTTATTCGTTTAATTGCTTTAATGTTTGTAATTTGTATGGCTATTGGGGGGGGGGGGGTTAATTGTAAACTTTCCAGTCATGAATGTATAAATTGAAATATATAAAATTAATAAACAAACCAAAAGCCATTCTGTATAAACACCATGATAGAAATTGCATTTATTTTCAAAATATCAAATTAAAAAGGAAAAAAGACATTAAAATGTTAAATAATTGCAAAAATCATGTTTAAAGCCCACATCCAGGAATAAATTATTTAGCCTAATTGATGCTACTACTTGTAGAAATTAGGATATAGGATACATAAATTCTGGTGGCAAAAAACCAGAAGTGAACCTAACTTTAAATATAAATATGAGGTTATATAAATATCTATGGGAAAACCTTCTCACCAATACTCTTTTTTAGCACTGTTTCATTTTGCTTCAAGCTGAACATTTGCAGAAAGAATAACACAAAAGATATACAGAAAAAGAAAGCTAATGCTTACTGTAAGAACCACACAGAAAATATGTTGCTTTAGTTAAATTTGGCTGATAGAACAAGGAATAATTTTATTAAAAGTCTCTCCCTAAGCAGCATGGCTTGTAAAATTGGACCAGACAGCAAGAGATCTACAAAAAGAATTAAGTGAAAAGTTCTTTACAAATTGCCTCAGTGAATGTCATTATACTTTTCTGGGAAATCTATCAAAAGATCCCCCTTCTGCTAGCTTTATTCAAGATCAAAAAGCTACTGCAGCTCTTATCTTTTGCAAAAGTTGAACATAAAAGAAAACTCACTTCTTTCTTCTGCAGAGCAAGAGGAAAGGGCAGGTGGTTTCCGTCAGCATTTGCAAAAGCCTGTTGCATATAAGGAAAACCACTGCAGAGGTAGTTGTGACCACAATGGCCAGACCAAAATCCATATAAAACTCCAAGGGTAATTATCATGTTGTGATTTATCTAGTACAGGATGTACAGATTCTGTAAGGATCACAGATAGTACTAATAATCTCTCGAGGACCACCTTCTTTGAGCTCTCAGGTGAACAGAGCAATCTTTTTCTCATCAGGAACGCCTAATTCTTTGGGGAACTTAGTTTTCAGTTCCCTGGAGAAATTCCAGCTTGTGAAGAATGAAATCCTTTTCATCCCATTAGCTGTTCAAGAGTTCAGAAACCCAAAGGAAAATGGACTATATTAAGATTGCCAAAGGAAAGTCCCAGAATTTCCTTTCCCACAATTTTGATCAAACACTGGTTAACAGTGACACAGAAATACCTCTTCTTCATGACTCTGCAGTTGGGCTAGAGGAAAATGTGAACAGTGTTGAAAACTGCAGGGAGAGTATCAAAATACCACAGAGTTTGAGTTGCATTATGTGACCTAGCACATTTAAAGAAACCAGCTTTACTTTTTTTTAGTAATAATGGGGAACTCTCGTGTCTCTCTTACATGTCTTCTGTAATATTTCTTTATACATCCGTTTCCAGTCCTCATGATTGCTGCATAGCATCGTATATTGTAAGTGGTGTTCCTGTCGGGTGCAAGAGCCTGTAAAATCACTTCTACCAGTTTATCATGGGGAAGAGTGTCGTAAGCGCCTGTGACATCAGCCTGGAAAAGAAACGGAGGCAATTTCTTAACTTTCAAGTTTCAAATGTCACTCAAAACAAATGTGATAACATTAGAAGAGTATTCACTCACAAAAAGTTGATAAATTGTGCAATTGTCATGGTTTTCCAATAACATCAGTGTGCATAGTGGCCAAACACTTATAATTCTCCATAAAAAAAGGAAAGTAACAAAAGGCAAATTTTCATTTTATGTATTCAATTTCTATAGCACCCCAACTCAACCAAATGATTCTGGGCGGATTTGGTTTGGTTATATGTAATTATGCTCACTTTCAGTAAAGAATGGAGATAAACCTATTAGTTTCCAATTATTCATATGTACAACATGTTGCCTTTATCCACAGAATGTTAGTTGCCAATCCTTTGTCCAACTGTAGCACTGTTTGATGCAGCCTTATTGTTCTTTGCTTTGCTCTTCTTTCTAAGCTTCCTGGTTTATCTGGACTGTGACCCTGCAATTGCTCCATTATCTCCTATGTTGATTCACTTCAGATAAGTAGCTCTAGAGCTAATTGTCGTGAAGCCTCAAAGAGTTGGGAAGGAAGTTTTTTTTGACCTGTCTTTTTGACCACCTTAACAGGAGATGAACTTTTCTGATCAATTCCATTGCTCTAGTGACCAAGAATAAAATACTCCAGGCTTCCAAGAAACAAGACTGCATCCTTAACAAAAGAAAAATGCTGAATTTTATCAAAAAGGAAGCCCATTCACCAAGTGAACGACAGCTTCTATTTTTTGAATATACCTTCACAAAGTAGAATTTAGGCATTTCAGCATACGATTCCAAAACCTTTGAAACAAACTTCTTCCACATTATGTAAATGTCATCTTTTCCAAACACAGTTGAGCCAAGTAAGACAGGGTTCTTCAATCGTTCATAATTAAGAACACTAAATAAATTTTTAAGCCGCACATTGAAATGTTGAGCCTAAAAAAGAATGAAAGAAAAACAATTAATTTCAGCAATATTAAGTGCTTCTCTCATGGCAAAACATGAGAGCATAAATTATTCAACGTTAGAAAAGAAGTAAAGAGGCTTTAAGAAGCTTTCTTAATGAGTTGTTGGAAAGGGCACAGGAAGAAAGAAAAAAAGAGTTACAAGCATGTAATTAAGGAGCAAATGTGATGGGTGCATTGTGCAAGTACATGAAGAAGCTGAAGTCTGTGTGAAAGAGAAACCATCTGGGTCACAAGAAATCACTCTTATAACTAATACAACATTGAACCTACTTTTGAAAGATTAAAAAGATTTATTTTTCAGGGACATTCATTAAACATTTCCTGCATAAAGAGGTATACACTGACGGTATTCGGATAATGCTCTACTGAAAGGTGTCTCAGCAGCACCTGGTTAAGCTTGTCTAAGGATGGAATCTAAGAAGGGCTGATCTGGTTAGTATCTGGATAAATATCCTCCGTGGAATAACCAAATGTGCAGGTTAAACTAGAAAATTAAAAATAAAAATCTCTCCGAAAGGGTTGGTGGCTACCTTCTTCTTCTTCTGCAAAAATACAGAAGAAAAAAAGAAGACCAATTATAGATGTATCATTAAATCACCAGGAGTTGAGCTTGATTTGAAAAAAAATAATCTTTTATTGAAAGATTATACAGGGGATTGACATGGCCAGAAGTATGCCATCTGCAACTGTTCTTGGAACCAGATGATTTGGCTTCTTTCATTTTTGGATCATAACCTGCTTGTGTGTTTGGGGGGGGGAGGTTGCTTTGTATTTTACTGGTTAGATGTAACATTATTCTTTGAAAGTATTTAATGGGCTTGTTTTAAATTATTTTAAGCCACAAGTGTTATATGTTTGGGCAAGTACAAAACGATTGCCTAATTAATAAATTCTTTACCTCATGAAAATTAAGGATGAATAGCAGAGAATACACATCTTGGGATTTCAGAAAAACACATTTTAATCAATCAATGAAATTACAAAGAATCTGAGGGCAAGATGAATGAATGAGGAGAGAAGTCCAAGATGTCTAAACTCAACTGAATGAATAAAAGGGAACACAACGTCACTCAAGACAAGTAAAGCCGAGTACTCAGATCTACAGTCAGGTCCAGAAATATTGGGACATCGACACAATTCTAACATCTTTGGCTCTATACACCACCACAATGGAGTTGGAATGAAACAAACACAATGTGCGTTAACTGCAGACTGTCAGCTTTAATTTGAGGGTATGTACATCCAATTCAGGTGAACGGTGTAGGACTTACAGCCGTTTGCATATGTGCCTCCCACTTGTTAAGGGACCAAAAGTAATGGGACAGAATAATAATCATAATTCAAACTTTCCCTTCTTAATACTTTGTTGCAAATCCTTTGCAGTCAATCACAGTCTGAAGTCTGGAATGCATAGACATCACCAGAAGCTGGGTTTCATCTCTGGTGATGCTCTGCCAGGCCTCTACTGCAACTGTCTTCAGTTCCTGCTTATTCTTGGGGCATTTTCCCTTCAGTTTTGTTTTCAGCAAGTGAAATGCATGCTCAATGGGATTCAGGTCAGGTAATTGACTTGGCCGTTGCATAACATTCCACTTCTGTCCCTTCAAAAACTCTTTGGTTGCTTTTGCAGTATACTTTGGGTCATTGTCCATCTGCACTGTGAAGTGCCGTCCAATGAGTTCTGCAGCATTTGGCTGAATGTGAGCAGATAATATTGCCCAAAACACTTCAGAATTCATCCTGCTGCTTTTGTCAGCAGTCACATCATCAATAAATACAAGAGAACCAGTTCTATTGGCAGCCATACATGCCCACGCCATGACACTACCACCACCATGCTTCACTGATGAGGTGGTATGCTTAGGATCATGAGCAATTCCTTATCTTCTCCATACTCTTCTCTTCCCATCACTCTGGTACAAGTTGATCTTGGTCTCATCTGTCCATAGGATCTTGTTCCAGAACTGTGAAGGCTTTGTTAGATGTTGTTTGGCAAACTTTAATCTGGCCTTCCTGTTTTTGAAACTCACCAATGATTTACATCTTATGGTGAACCCTCTGTATTCACTCTGGTGAAGTCTTCTCTTGATTGTTGACTTTGACACACATACACCTACCTCCTGGAGAGTGTTCTTGATCTGGCCAACTGTTGTGAAGGGTGTTTTCTTCACCAGGGAAATAATTCTTCGGTCATCCACCACACTTGTTTTCCATGGTCTCCCAGGTCTTTTGGTGTTGCTGAGCTCACCGGTGCATTCCTTCTTTTTGAGAATGTTTCAAACAGTTGTTTTGGCCATGCCTAATGTTCTTGCTATCTCTCTGATGGGTTTGTTTTGTTTCTTCAGCCTAATGATGGCTTGCTTCACTGATAGTGACAGCTCTTTGGATCTCATCTTGAGAGTTGACAGCAACAGATTCCAAATGCAAATAGCACACTTGAAATGAACTCTGGGCCTTTTATCTGCACATTGTAATTGGGGTAATGAGGGAATATCACACACATGGCCATGGAACAGCTGAGAAGCCAATTGTCCCATTACTTTTGGTCCCTTAACAAGTGGGAGGCACATATACAAACTGCTGTAAGTCCTACACCGTTCACCTGAGTTGGATGTACATACCATCAAATTAAAGCTGACAGTCTGCAGTTAACGCACATTGTGTTTGTTTCATTCCAACTCCATTGTGGTAGTGTATAGAGCCAAAGATGTTAGAATTGTGCCGATGTCCCAATATTTCTGGACCTGACTATATAAGCAGTGTAACGAAAGCCACAAGTTGCCAGGTGAAGTTGACAAACAATGCAAGGATCAAGTTGGGCTTAAAGGAAAAACAAGGGAAACAATAGACACCTTAGTCAAGATGACATGTTAATGAACTGTCAGCTCCCCAGTGCAATCATTTAAAAATAGGACTGGGGTGAATAAGGATTTCATTTCAAAACTGAGAAGCATTTCATAAGAAGTATGTTACCTTAAGAAAAGGCTGGATGAATTGCAGTTCAAGTGCCAAAAGTATTTTCAGAGATGCTCTAACGTAATATTTCAGTTGCCCTATTATTTCAGTTAGCACATTGCCAACATCCTGGATAGATGTCAAATCAAGTGACTTCATAATTGATTGAAAAGTGTACACATGGAATGCTCATCCCTAATGCTTCATTAAAGAGAAGAGTTTGATAAGAATACCAATTTTATTTGGTGGATTTCTGCCTAGCATTTTTAATCATTTTGGGAATAAGCAGGAGAAGCATATTTTTATTAAATATGTAGACATGAAACTGGGAGAAGTAACGAATAACATTCAAAGTTATCCTTGTGGAAAAGACACTGGGCTTAAATTAAAAAAAGTTATTCAACAAAGAAAAATATTGAATTCAGGATTTAAGCAAAATAATAAAGACTAAATGTAAAAGAAATGCAGAGAGAATGTATACGAAAAGGATGTTTGATCATAAGCAGAATGGAAATCAGCAACCTGAGGATTCTCCTACAAAATAAAATAAAAAACCCTGCAATTGTAAGATGTATTAGTATCAGGGTGGATTTGATTTAAATCGAGTTGATTTAAATCACAATTTAAATCATGATTTAAATCACTAGTAAAAAGGCTTGATTTAAATCAACTCGATTTAAATCATAATTTTTAAAGAGCAACTGTCATCTCTGCTACTCCTTTGATCCACTGTTGACTCACCGATAGTCCCAGTGTTGCAGAATATACAGCCTCATGCTACATAACTAAGCTCCATTTCATGCTGAATAAATTATTTATGTATCTTAAATAGAAAACTATCTTAAGATAGATTTTTACCCCAAAAGTTTTTTATTAAAATAAATTCGATAAAAATCAAAAAAATCCGATTTAAATAAAAAAAATCTGATTTTTTTGATTTTTTTTTACAAAAATCATTGATTTTTATCCACCCTGATTAGTATGATACTTAATATAAAGTAATAGTTTGTTCATTTTATAAAAATGAGATCCTAACAGGAACACAATGCTTAATTCTGAATAATATATTTTGAAGATTTAAACAAATTGGAACAGATTTAGAGAAGAGAACAATCAAAGTGTACAAATACATATCTCAAGCCCCTGCCTCCCAAGTACATGAATTTGGTTGATGTAATGTTGAATTAACTCAATAAATTAAGGACCTTTTTGCCTCTGCTGTTTCTGCAAAATGTTTCTGCTCCGACCTCATCATGCAGCTTGACCACAGGTCTCAACCCATTTGATTTGGGGATGAATCGGAGTTTTGATGCCAGGGGGACACACTTTCTGTGCTGCAAATGTTCAATATCTTCCTTTGATAAAGGATGAAGCTGCACTTTGGCCAGATGGCTCCTAAAATGGAAGTTGGCAGTACTTTAAAATGTACACACAGCAGACTGTCATTTACTTGTAAGATTTAGCGACCACTCAACTTCAAAACACCTCTAGGTTGTCTACACTAAAAATAAGATACAGTAGAATTCTATGATTAAACGACATCTAAATTTCTTGTCTATTTTAAGGTATAATGTTCTAACTACTAACTACCAATAAAAAATTTCAGAAAGTGGCACCATCTGGCCAACCTCCTCTTCGTTTAGAATACAAGCAGTCTCAGGCCTGGTTAATACATGGATCAGTAAGGCTTAACTGGAAAGGGAAAATAACCCAGGAGGAAATGACAGAATACTGCCAAGGAAACTAAGTGGATATGTCTATAATCATCTAAAGTCAAGTTCTGACTTCAAGGCAACTTCACATTTACATCCCACAAGAAATGCTGAATCAAGCTCCACAAAAATGCATGATACTGTTCATATGGCTCTGGAAAGCAATTCAGATGAAGAGAATTACAATCTGAGGAAAATTCCTCTGACTGAGAAGAACCATGTTGGCATAAGGTCCTTCCCACCACCCAATGGTGGGTTGCCCCCGGTTCGCACTAGTTCTATAGAACCGGTAGTAAAACTGGTGGGAGGCTCTGCCCACCGACCCTGTCACCAAAATATGCGCGCAGCCCCATTGCAAACAGGTAGTAAAGCTAAGTAGAACCCACCCATGCCATCACCCCAAATAGGCTCCAATGACAGAAGACAGCTGGGAGGTATATGGGTAGCAAAAGTAGCTTTTCCCTTCATGGATCCTAAGCTCCTGGCAGCAGTTGTTCAAAGCACGTGCAGATGAGCTGAATCTCCTCTGCTTTCTAATCCCAAATCAGAGAAGTTGTCTACGATGTGAAGATGGCCTTCAAGTCAGAATTAACAATGGAACAGCAACTGTCCAGTTTCAGCGCCAAGAGCATCCAACCATAGGTATTGGAAAAAGTAGGGATAAGAAAACTGATTTAATATCCTACCTGCTTGGGTGCTTTAGATGACAACCCATGTGACTTTTTGTCAGGTTCGCCTGATTCGCCAGTTGTGGCTCTTTCTTGATCGGGATTCCCTGTGCACAATCACTCATGCCCTCGTCACCTCTCGCCTGGACTACTGCAACGCTCTCTACATGGGGCTCCCCTTGAGGGGTACCCAGAGGCTCCAACTGGTCCAGAATGCGGCTGCGCGGGTAGTTACAGGATCTGCATGGCGCTCCCATATAACACCTCTCCTGCGTGAGCTGCACTGGCTCCCAATGGTCTTCCGGGTGCGCTTCAAGGTGATAGTTATCACCTTTAAAGCGCTCCATGGCATAGGACCTAGATATCTTCGAGACCGCCTGCTGCTACCGACGACCTCCCGTCAACCTGTGCGCTCCCAGAGAGGGCCTCCTCGGGGTGCCTTCAGCCAGACAATGTAGGCTGGTGACCCCCAGGGGGTCTTCTCTGTGGGGGCACCTACCCTCTGGAACCAGCTGCCCCCAGAGATAAGGAGAATCCAAGACCTTGGTGCCTTCCGCCGTGACCTTAAAACTTTCTTTTTTCAGCAAGCCGGGCTAGCCTAACACTTTTTTAAAAATGTTTTTAATTGTTTTGTCATTGCTCTTAATTATGGAGCCAAATATATATATATATCTTTTTAATTGTATTTTAATGTTTGTAGTTTATGTTTTTACTTTGGCTGTACACCGCCCTGAGTCCTTAGGGAGAAGGGCGGTATATAAATTTGATATAAAATAAATAAAATAAAATAAAATATACAGAAGGGAGGGCATCTTAGGCTTTGAAAAATACCTCAAACCAACCACCATGCTCCATTTAAGATGAAATGAAGACTAGCTTTGGATAGGGCTCCTTTACCCATGAAGTGAGACATATGAGGCCTGCCAGATCTCTATGGAAAGTCAATTTATGCAGTGCAGAGCTGGGCTTCCTATTTCCTGCCTTGCCCAGCACCAGTCACCTTTAGCAATCCAGCATCCTCCCACCCGGAAGGAAGCAGGGAGCAAGTACAGCATAGCCACCCTTCACAAGATAGATAGGCTGACTAGGTGACCTAGATTAGGTCTGTAGGGCAGAATCCCCCACCCTTAGTGTAAACGGAATAGCTTTCTTTGCACTTTTGAACTTCTGATTTCCTAATAATACCTGATTCCAATGCTCTGTAGTTTGCTCCAAACAGCCTTTCGGAAGTAAAAAAGTAAATTTTTTTGAAATGCTGTCTCTGTGATATAGAAGAAAGATCGGAGGAGCTCTGAAACATAGCAGTCCATCAGCCAGTACAGGAATTTAGACATCAGCTCTTCCCGAAAACGATGTTCAGAGGCAGGAACAGAATGGCCTGTAGAAAGGAGAATCCAGATTTAGTGACAATCAATAAGATTTTTGTTCTTGCAAGAAGCATCTATTCACGTTATCTTCACAACCAATATAAAGGTTAAGTTAAAGATATAACAAATAAAATGATGCAAACCATTAAGTAATGACCGTGAAATGTCTAATGCAAATGTTTTTACAGTGTAACAATGCTGCATTATAAATCAAAGATGTAAATGTATGTACATTTCTCTCCAATGCATGCACTAAATCTTAATAATAGGAACATCAATTTCTTCTGGCAAAGAGGTCATAATCTGAAAAAAAAATCTGCCTTTTCAAACAAGCAGGTAGTCTAATAAAATGTGTCCTATTTACAAGACCAATTTACACCGATAATTAAGAATGTGAAAATAACATTTGAAGATAGTTTCAAAAATAAAACTGATATCTTGAGGATATCACTGTTAATACCTTTGGTGAGACGAAGCCAAGCACAATCACTGACCCTCATTTTCCATGTCAATTCCTCCAAAGAAAACATGGCAAACTTCCCCAAGGAAATAAACTTCTTCACATTTCTGTAGAAGCGGCACTTGTTGTGGTTTGAACCCCAAAGCGCAGGAGGCACCACTCTCTCTAAGCATCCCCTCACAAAAGTATATACTTGCCAGGTACTGCTATATTGCTTTAGCAACGCTATGAAATCAGAACTGGAGGAATCTTGGAAGACCTTCTCTTTATCTTTTTCTTCAAATAAGTCAGTTCTTTCAGAGCTTCTGCTTGAAGCACCAGTCTCTGGAAATGGGCTCAATGCACTTGACCTGCTTGAGATGCAACCTTCTACTGGATTATCCTGCTGCCTCTTTGATGAAATTTGCTCTACTTGGTGACCATTTTGTTTGAAACTTTGCTCTCCTAGGCTTATCGTATCTGGTTCAGAAACTGAAATGGGACAATTCCTTTTTAATATTGCTTGATAAGGACATTTTGCATGATTCTGTAAGAGTTCTTGGAACACACTTCTCATCTGCCAATAGCGTTTCGGAAGCCTCTTCTTTTTCTTGGGACCACTTTGAACACTAGAACTGCTAGGCTGCTTCAGAATCTTACTGCTGAAGAACACTTGTTCTACTAAGCGGCGTCCTCCTGCTGGATGGCCCTTCAAGTGATTTAATACAAACGACTTAGGTAAACACTCTTTCAAACGCTGGTAGGAATATAAGAGAGAATGTCTCTCAATATGCACTACAGGAATGCTATTGTAAGACTTCCTGACAGATTTAGATGAGTGAATTCCAAGGTCTTTTTCTGGTAAAACCATTTTTGCAAGCCCCAGTTGCACAGAACTAATATCAGAGGTTCTAGTTACCAGCTTTGGCAGTTTAGCATTGCATGTTGGTTGCACATTGGATTCACAAAATGGTTTACTTATACTATCTTGCTTTTCACATACCAAAGCCCCTTGATTGTCATTAGTTGCAGTAGGTACCCCAGATATTTGTACTCCACCATTCTGAGTAACGGAGTTCATAAGAGTTAATCCTTTTGAACATGATTGTATACATACTCTAGAAGCCTCAGGTTTATCACAATCTAAAATCAACTGATTTTGTTTTTTTCTAGAATCTGGGTTTCTTGCGGTTTTTTCTACATTGTCCTCCTTTATCATTATTTTTATTTTCTTGGCATTAATATCACACTGGCCTGTCCACTTTCTTTTTAAACACTGTGTTCTTAATGATGGGCTAAGAGAGGGCTTTTGTTGCTTTTCTATGTGTTCACCAGTTCTCATAATTTGCTTTTTCTTTGAAGGGTTTTGGCCAGAAGCACTTTGAGCTACTGTAGACCGCTGACTGTTGTGTTGTTGTGTTTTGTTCCATTTCTGCCTTTCAGAATTCCATTTCTTCCACTTTGTTTTTCTGGGATACCACCTACAAGACTGAAACCTTTTACGGAGATAAGTTGTTAGGATACAAGGTGAAGGCCCATGAATCTTCTGTCTAAGAAACTTTGGAGGCCATGTTACATTTCTTGAAGCAAGCTTATAGATGGGTTCTCCACAAATTTGGTAACAGCAATTAGGAGGCACAAGGAGAAAGAGAGCACAATGCTCTAATATATACATCATGATGTCATCCCCAACTCTGTTTAGAATGATCTCCCAGAGCACATTCTGTCGAATAGTTTCTGTTGAATGATTAGGCATGTAGCTACCAATATTTGGCATACAGGGCAACTGGCAATTATTTCCATCCAATAGGGTATAACCAAATGTCAACACATTCTTTTTCTTCTTTTGACGAATTCTCTGAATGATTCGTGTAAGGACATCATCCTGACAGGAAACCTGCAAAATAGCAAAAAAAGTACCATCTTTCTAGCAAAATTTTGAATAAATCACAAATGGCATTAATTATGTAGAACTGAATAGAAATACAAGGGGAAAAATCTTACTTTATTCAACATACCAGTGGATAGCTGATATGTTGAATGCACACATATAATGAACAAAAATATTTCCACCAAATAGCTCAATGAAAATGCAACTTGAGCATTTCCTAATGCCTGCATATACACACTTTTTTCACTTAAAGCAGGAAGCAATATCTCAGTCAGATAAGCTTAGCTATAGAGCTGGACGCTGGCATGGCAATCTTGAATTCTACAAGCATACATTGAAGTCTTGGTACTCCTGGTAGCAAATAAAAATGGGCAAGAGCTCCTTAAAACATTTCTAATCATAATTGTATCTAGAGTTTAATAAAAACTGAGAAAAGTAGCTCATTTATACTTATCAAAATGTAGGATTACAATACCTGTACGGATTTGGACACATTGTCCATGACTGGAAGAACTGTAAGAAACTATAGGAAGCCCTATAATAAAACTAGTGAAAAAAAGGGGGTAACCGCAAGCTATTACCTCCCTCCTGAAAGGCTTTGAACCTCACAGGAATAAATAAAATAAATAAAATAAATAAAATAAATAAAATAAATAAAATAAATAAAATAAATAAAATAAATAAAATAAAATAAAATAAATAAATAAATAAATAAATAAATAAATAAATAAATTTATTTCTATACCGCCCTTCTCCCGAAGGACTCAGGGCGGTGTACAGCCTATTAAAAGCACAAAGACAGACATCAATTAAAAATAATTAAAAATATTAAATAATTTCGGCTCAAATTGAAAACCCCAAAAATTTAAAACACCCAATTTAAAATCATTACATTGATAGCCCGGCCTGGCGGAACAGCAGGGTCTTGAGGGCACAGCGAAATACACGGAGGTCGGAGATCTTACACATTTCCGGGAACAGTTCATTCCACAGGGCAGGGGCTCCCACAGAGAAGGCCCTCCCCCTGGGTGTCACCAGCCGACATAACTTGGCCGATGGCACCCTGAGGAGACCCTCTCTGTGGGAGCGGACTGGCCGGTGGGAGGCTATTGGTGGCAGAAGTCGGTCTCGAAGGTACCCGGGTCCTATGCCATGGAGTGCTTTAAAGGTGGTGATCAACACCTTGAATCGCATCCAAAATAGAATATCCAAAGATGTTCTATTCAAGAAACAAAGAAATATTAGAGGCTCCCAATCACCAACTTTTCTAAAAGTTTTTGGGAAATGCCACTGCTGCTCATTGATAAAAGCATTGGAAAACCAACGGAGGGCTTGGGGTGACTGAAAGAAACTATGAAAGAAACAGGCATGACCCTGAAACAAGACCATCAAATAGAAAACCAGACACTAATCAAGGAAGTACCAAGGAGAAAGCCACACCCCCAAAACTCAGGCGGGGGCAAGTCATTGTATATAAACAGAGAGCAAACCACACACCCACTAAAAGTGATGATGTAATGTAATTGGGTAAAGCATCTTCAAGCAAATCATCAATCTCAGAGAGCGCCAAGGTCTCTGCAGTTTCTTCCTGAGCTACATATATTCTCCAACTGGAAAGATTACTTATATATTATCTCACCAGATTTATTTTTTTCTTTCCATGAAATGGCTGTTTTGATTAGGTTGCCATGCACACTACACCACAAACACACTCCCCAATGCCCACCATTTAATCTTTAGCAATTTTAAATAACTTTAGATCTGTAAACTTTAAAGCACCACCTAACTCTATTGTTTTAAAACAGTGTGCCACTGCTGATGCTACTTTGTCTGAGTAATGAAACGCCTGCAAGAAAAGAAGCAAGCTCAGAGAGCACCAAAGACCCTTCATTTCAACCCCGAGCTACAAATATTCTCCTTTATTGGTAAGACAGTGCAGCCTACAATAGGCAGAAGGAGAAAGCCCACTTCAAGCAGCGGGGAGGAATGGAAAGAGCAAACTGTGCAGTAACCATAACACATATTAGGAATTTCTCGAGGGAAGCCCTTTCTGCATTTTCCGCAGACAAAACTTGGCTGGCCCTTGGAACACAGCGGGTACTTACCAAGTGGCGAAATAGGTTATCATACCCACAAAACAAGCTTTCTGAGGAGAGGCGGGGGGAGCCCGGTAGGACACAAAGTAATCCGGGCCAAACGCAAAACCTGCTCCCTTACCTGCTGGACGCCGAAATAGGCAGGGAGGGCCTTGCACGCAGCCAGACGCCCCACCAGGCACTGGGCGACCAGGCTACAGTAGCTCCCGGGATCCCCGTCCTGCACGAGAGGCTGCGGTTGGTCCTTTGCAAGAGTTCGCATCTGCAAGCTCCGCACAAAGACTTCCAGCGGCAGCACTTCCGCGTAAAAGCTGCACAGCAGCTCTCGCACAGCTCTCCATCGCCGGGATCGGTCCATGCAGGCACCGAACGAAGCGATGCACGGAGACTGAGAGAGAGAGAGAAAGAGAGCGAGAGCGCGCGTTTTCCGTGGTCCACTGAAACCCAACTCGCCTCCCTTATTGGCTCTTCAAGGTGCCAGAAGCCACGCCCTTTAAGGCAGCCCGGGAAAAGTTTCCTCTGGGTTTCTGTGTTTGTGTGCGACCATTTCTTTCTCTATCGCAGTGGTGGTTTTGTGGGGCGCCGCGTGGGTTACGTACACCCTGAATCCCAGCATTTCAGAGTTTCTGCAACGTGCTATGTTAAGTCTGCAGAAAATCTACGACAGATAGGAATATAGGGACTCGCGTCCCAGGGCACCAAATTAAGGAAAGGGCGAGTGCGTAGGAGTAGATGAAGTGGGATGGGCTGATGCTGGTACAGGTAGTCCTCGATTTACAACGGTTTCATTTAGTGACGGTTCGAAGTTACATCACTGAAAAAAGTGGCTTAAGACTGTTTTTCACACAACCCTTGCAGCATCCCCATGGTTATGTGATCAAAATTGGGATACTTGGCAACTGGGACATATTTATGACGGTTGCGTCCCATGTCCTAGGGTCATGGGATCACCTTTGGCAACCTTCTGGCAAGCAAAGCCAATGGGGGAAGACAGATTCATTTAACAACCGTGTTACTAACTTAACTGCAGTGATTCACTTAACAACTGTGGCAAGAAAGGTTGTAAAATGGGGCAAATTCACTTAATGGTCTCACTAAGCAACATAAATTTTGGACTCAATTGTCATAAGTCGAGGACTACCTGTAGTGAAATATTCTTAAATTTGCTCAAAACAATCTGGAGGACGAGATCAGAGGAGTCACCGAACATGTGCCAAACAGGACCAGCAAACAAGATATCTTGCGAAGTTTCTGTCCGAAATCTGATATTCATTGACTATCTGTTGAGAAGAGAAAGGTAGTGGAGGCTACACAGTGTGAGTGGGTGTAAGACAGCTGCTTAGATTCGAAAGAAAGCAAAATAAATAGTGCCATGATTCATATTTAGTGATAACTCAGAAATGACCCAACGTCCAACTAATTTCTATCTGGGAATCCAGGTAAGGAGTCTTATTTCTTAATTGTACTTTACCAGGACTGGGGAGTAATAGTGAATGAATCAGAGATTGTGTTATATTTTCTGCTTATTTAAAACAATTATTTGAGTAGTTCCTAGGCAGGTAAGTTTCAATCAAATTTAACTGGCTATAAAATGTAGGTGCATGCAAAACATAAAATCTTTCTCTCTTCTTTTGTACTGTGACCTAGCAGAATCGCAGCTTTCATTAACTTCAAGGAATTAGGAACTTTCTTCAGAGGACACTAAGCACCAAGGGATACTTCCTTGGTTTTTCTTTCACTGCTCTTTTAAACAGTGACTTGGCAAGCTTAAGTAGCTTTCAGTGCCTTTTTATCAAAAACAAAAACCACCTACCCTCAGCTGCTGTGCAGAAGTACTGAAGCACTTTTCTTCCTTTTTGAGAGCTAGTGGGGGTGGTTTAGACCCATATTTCCTCTTCTTGGTCCCAAGGCCATCTCAATACTATTCTTTCAGCTTCAATTTCTTGTATTTGTCAGGTGAGGGTACTGGTAATACATTCTCTAGGACGGTCAATGAATGTGTGTGTGTGTGTGTGTGTGTGTGTAAATTCTAACAGGTCATACATGTGAACTGTGCCTCACATCTCTGTAGCCACTACCCAGATTTTAGTATACATATTAAGCAAGGGAACCCATATGGTAGGTGCCATGATGGAAAAACAGCATCTTGCCTCTCCTATTTAGACAAAGCTATTTATAATTTTCCCATCCTTCACACATTATTTGCAAATCAGAATGACTGTCTAGAGGCTGCTACTTCCTATCTTGTAAGAAAGTCCAACTTTTAACTGCTCCCTGAAATGCATTTCCAAATCAAAGGTAATGTGTGAAATTTCCACTAAATTGATTCTTCTCAGCAATATAATCAGAATCTGAGGTTGAGAAATACCATAAATGGTGTGGATGTATGTGTGTGTATGTATGTATGTATGTATGTATATATATATATACATATACATACATATATGTATGTATGTATGTATATATATATATACATACACACATACATACACACACACACATATACATATACATATACACATTTATTTCTATAGAGTGTGGAGGAAACAAACATAATTGACAGGATTAAAAGGTAACCAGATCTCTCTCATATTACCAATTATATTTCTAATTAAAATTTAAAACAAACTATTTTCATGTAAATCACATAGCATTTGCATTGCAAGTCATTTAACCAAGCAATTATATTTTCCAGTTTCCAACATTAGCCAAATAAATTTGCAATATTAATAATTCTCTCAAGATATTTTTTATAGTTGGAATCTTTAAAAAAACACATATGGTTACATCATAACAATATTTCTTCCATTTAATAATTTAAATTCTGCTGTATATAAATAAATAAAAGTAAAATGAAAGCTTGGGAGTGACCAAAATTTTCAATTAATGTTGGATCCAGGCTAAATTAGTGATACTTTAGTCCCATAATTAATGTTAAATTAGTCACTATTTATTTGCTCTATTAATCTGAGTGGGATTGAATATAACTACTTTAGACTGGAAATCAACTCATTTTCAATAAACAATCCTAATAATCTAAAACCTGATATTTGAGAATTAAGTGCCAGCAGATTTCTGGAACTCTAGTGGAGAAAATACACATGCATATTCAGCACTATTGAAAGCAAAACCTTTTGGCAATAAAGTCACTAATGTATTAAGCATACTCAAATTTCATTCAAGTCAGTGGCCTTAAGCATGCACAGCTAGGCACAAAATGGCAGCCCTACCTCCTCTCCCCTACCATTTCTTAGTGTGGGACACATGACCCCACAGGAACTCTTATGAATGTTCTCCAGTGTTCTGTATTTGAGAAGTAAAAGGGAATTCCATAGATTAAACAATTTTATGGGCGTCAATGGGGATTAGAACATGTAGCACAGCAGTGCTATTAAGGATCATGCCACAATCTAAATGGTGTTTTAAACTTGCATTTTGAACATGCTTAAAATATATTTCACATGAAATATAAACATTATTTAATAAACACAGCATCCCAATTTATAAAAAGGCTCATTATAAAATATTTAAGCCCCCGCACCAAAACAAAACATGGCAATTGGGCAGTTACAATTTCCTTACCAGTAGAGTTTGAACTGATCTTACTTTATGAATCTTTGAGATCTTTATTTTCTGCCTGCCTTTTGCTTCAGACCACTCTTCATTATGGTTTATATTGTTATAGAATGAAAAAGGTTTACAGTCTCCCTGCCGAAGTATCATTGGCACAATAGTGTGTCATGCACCTATGTATTTACATTCTTCTAAAAACATGTTTTTGACTGAAAATGTAATGACTTTTCATCTTAGAAAAAAGTTCCTGTTTAGTGGAATCAAGAAATTCCAACTATAGGATTGAACAAAAGTGTTTTGCTGTGTGTGTACCAAAAAAAATCCATTCCCCAAACTACAGAATACTATTTGCTGCATGTACTTAGTTGACTTATGCTAAATATTTTTTTAAAGTTACACGCTTTGCATCCAGGACCAGTTTAGAATGGTTTGAAATATACCATTGAGAGTACATGTCTTCATATGGTTGCTGTCACGATTAGGTTCATATAAGAAGCATAGCTGGCATCTTTAAAAAAATGAAATGCTTACATCAGGAAATACAGTACAAAATAAGGGACACAATCCAGCCAACCAAATATTTTTAATCCTTATGATTTCAAAGAGTGAGTGAGGAATGTACCCTCCCTAAAATCATAAAAAGGCTGGAACATGCCAAGGATTGGTCCAAAACCATTTTACAGAAAGGTTTGAAAGTGAAGGGCAGGTCCTTGTCAGTTTATTACCTTTTCATAATCATTCACAGTACGTTCCTCTTGTTCATAAGCCGAACAGCTGAATTTAAATGCATACTCCTTAATGTCGGCTGTTGGAGGGTTCAAGACATTAAGCATAATGGACACAAATATTTATGCAGAAATTGTCAAAACAATTCAAAATGTTAACTACCTGGCAGAAATATTGGCAGCCTTGTTGAACCCCAAATAATAATTTTTTTAAAAATCCAAAGGTAATCATAACATATTTTGGCAATGCAGATGATACAATGTCCATGACATTCTGTCCCAAGTTCTGAAGAATACTCTTTTGCTTCATCTCTTTTTAAAAGTCAAACAGCATATGCAGCCAGCATCAATCCAAAGAATTTTTAGCAATATCTTGAATTATTCTTTGTGGGGTTTTCTTTTCAGCTTCTCTTCATAGGATTCTCCATATTCATTCACTCTGCTCTTATCCACAGGATAAAGCCTTAGGGATAAAAAGAAATTGTGACATTTTCTTAATCAAGGTCTTTTCATGCGTTTATTTTTTGCTATTGTTAATGCATATAAACGTGTATGTCTAAGACATGTCTACTTCTATGTCTTGAAGTAAAGAAGTGCTTTGTTAACACTTGTTGTGGGCTAGCTGAAGTACTGTATGCTGCAAATGACCAGTGCTATTTTGCTACTGTAAACAAAGAATATTGCATGTGAAGCAAGTATGATTAAAGTTAGTACAGGTAATCCTTGAGTTACGAAGGTAATGGAGCCTGCCAATTACATTCATAACTTGAGGATTCGTAGGAATGAATCACGTAATTTGAACATGATCACTCCCTGCTTTCGCCCACGCATTCACTAATTGAATGCGTGGGTCGATAAGTGCACGAGGTATATCAGGGTGGGAAAGGCCATGGGGTGGGGGCTAGTGATGGAACAGGGCCTCCCCAACCGATTGAGATACCTGATGCTTACCCTCTCCCAACCTGCCATGCCGAATTCACTTAGCTTGCAAAGATCTCTCTTTGCAAGATCCTCTCTGCCATGGTGTCTTTGCCTTGGAGGGAGAGAGAGCAGGATGATTTCCCTTCCAGCATCTGATAGGCTTGCAAATGCTTTTCACACAGAGAGTGAAAGGTGCTGGGAGTTGTGATCTTGTGTGACTTCAGGCACTCTTTTTCTGCTAAAGCAGGTGGGTGCCTCAAATCACGCGAGATCACAGCCCCCAGAACCTTCCACTCTCAGCACGAAAAGCATTTGCAAACCAATTGGATACTGGGAGCAACGTGATTTTGCTTCCAGCATCTAATCGGCTTGCAAATGCTTTTCATGCCGAGAGTGAAATGTTCTGGGGGGCATGGTCTAGTGTGACTTCAGGCACCCATTCTATGCAAAAGTGAATGGGTGCCTGAAGTCACATGGGAGCACAACCCCCAGAACCTTTCACTCTCGGCGCGAAAAGCATTTGCAAGCCGCCTGGATGCTGGAAGGGAAATCGTCCTGCTCTCCTCTCTCTCAAAGGCAAAGAAACCGCAGCATAGAGAAGACAGATCTTTGCAAGGTTAATGTGTCCAGCGCGGCAGGATGGGAGGGGGAAGCAGTTGTGGTGTGTGTGTGTGGGGGGGCGGGCGGGAATAGAGTGAATGTTGCAGTGCCTCTGCTTTCGTTCATAAGCGTGAACGATTGCTGTGGTGATACAACATTTGTCCATTACTTTGTCATAAATATTTGGGGTTATTACATAACTTTGAATGGTCACTAAGTGAACTGTTGTAACTCAAGGATTACCTGTAACTTAGTCTCTCTTTATCCTATCAAAGGGATAATGTAAAAGCCTTGAATGACTGAAGTCATGCCAAGTACTGGTGGTCAATATTTATGAGTCCATTTCTTAACCTTCACTACATATAGTAGTAGATGATGACTTGGAATGCAAGACAAATATTTGGCATACAACATGAATTAATGAATGAAGTGAAAGAAAAATTGTTAAGCTATGTCTCTAACATTATTTTCTGAATAGAACAATGTAATATATTTAAATGATGGTGCCTGAAGTGGAATTGATTCAATGTAAACAAATGGCAATGAAGGTGTTTATTATGAATAAAAAAATCTAAAAATATATTTCAGAAGGCTAAGTGTCAGCTAGACTGTTCAGGATATGTATGAGTTGATAGCTGTATGTTACACTTTGCTGAATGGTGATAATGAACGGGGAAAATTGTGCAACATTCTGAATGAGTAATTATTTGATAGCCTCAAAAGGTCTTGTGAAAAACAGATATGAAAATAAAAAGAATGAGAGAAAGAGATGAAAGAAACTATAATACACAATCAATACACAATCACATTTTTCTCAACTATGCATGATATACAAGACATATCTATATTTTCTCCTGGCAGAAGAATGAACCATCTAACTAATGAGAGGAAATGTAAAGAAAAAAAATACATACCATCTTTGGTAAAGGTACACCAAGAACACCACATCATCTCTAAAGCAAGCCAGCCGATGAGATGTTGGCATTGTAATAATAAATGCAAAAATATCATCAATGAATGTGTTGAATGCCTGTTAAGTAATAGACAAGAGGATGCAGCTTGTTTAATGGCATGTAAATAATGTGTTATTTAAAATAACAAAATTTTCAAGCAAATCAACAGTTTTTGATGACGTAATATTTAAACAGAATAGCTGAAGTGAAGGTAAAAAGAATGTCATTTTAAGGTTATAGACAGGATCCTTCTCTCCGATTATGAAAATGTAGGTTAAATCTAGAACAAGCAAAACCCATATGCAACATCCAAATGATTTTGTATGTATCCTTAGTATGACAGGCTTACCCACCTCATGACTCAACAAGCTGACTCTAGCAGTTAATAGACTCATTCAACTTGTGAGCCATAAGGTAGGTAGCCAGGGGCTTGGTGTCTTCTCCCCACTTTACCAAGGCAGCTCCAAGGCAGGTCTATACTGGACTTTCACTGACCTGATGGGCTAAATAATATTGCCATTATTAATTACCCACTGTGCTTACAAGTCATGTAAACATCACCTTGAGATTCCTGTGCATAAGGCGAAAAGCTTCTCCAGGTGTAGTTCATTACATTCTAAGTTGATCTTCCTATGGATCTTAAATCTAAAAGTAGTTATTACGGAACCTGAGAAATAAAAGCATTCCAAATATTTGTTTCAAATCAGGTTACGGGCTTTATAATGAATATAAGACTTGATGGTTCTCTATACAAACTACACTATCAGAGTTATTGCCTAATAACTTTGTTGAATATTTTTTGGATAATACCAGACTGGCAAATAAAATTCCAACTGTAGCTTGATTTTCAAGTAATAATTAAAGGCTCAGCAGCATAAATCTTAAGTTGCAAAATTAACTTACTTTGTATGTGAATGCTTTCCATGGCAAATGTGCAACAGATTTCATCTGGGAAGGAAGAAAACAAGAAAGTCATACAATATATTATTTTAAAAAATGAAAGTTGGGTTAAATAACATGTTACAATATTGGATTCAATTGTTAATTACCTTATAATTTACAAAAAGTTGTGGCAACATAAATAGAAATCCAAAAGCATACACTCCTGTTGAAGGGGAAAAAAATCACAGTGTTGGCATGATAGAAAAAAAACAGATATCCATTTTTATTTATTCCCGCTTTTAAACATCAGGATACACTAAGTGTATTGCAATTTAATATTGAGCTTTTATTTCAATTTAGGCTCTCACCCTCCCTTATACTTAGCTCATTCTAGAAATTTGAAATGTTTGGTTCACATTCTTTTGTAGAAATGCAGTAGAACCCTACAAAATTTTAATTATAGATGTGTTACATTAATATATGAAGAAATAAGGTTTTAGGTTGGAATGGGAAATCAATGAAACAGAAAATTCCCAGAAAAAGTAAATGACAATTTCTTTCTGTGTGGTGTGTGTGTGTGAGAGAGAGAGAGAGACCCATCCATGCCATGTACATGTCTGTATACATTAGAAATTCAGCTTGATTTGAAATAGACTTTATTTTACAATAAATTAGCATAAACGTATGGCTAATAAATAGAAAAAATAGTCTGCTTTGTTCTACCAATTGCAAATTTAAAACTGAAATTACAGGAGCAGGATTTCAGCTTTACTTTTACTCTTGTAATTTGATCATATTACCAGCCTAATATATTAACTTGTAGATGGTTAATCCAAATAAATGAAACAGTTTGTGTTTTAGCACACATGCTGTATATGGATACTTCCTTTTTTCAGATCTGGCTATCTCGGCTGCTATTCCATTGACTAGACCATCCCAGGACCTAATACTGGAATTGATCTAAATCAAGCTCCCCTCCCCCCAAATATGCTCTGAAGCAATGTACGATAGCAAGTACATACAGCTACCCACTTCCAAAAATACTATGTCTCAGCAACTTCTTTTGAAAATACTTCTAAAGAACTAGATTTCAAGAAAAGCAGTAAAAATTTATACATACCATTGACGAAACTATTAATTAACCATGAATACCAGCTTATGAAGAAAAAGAAAAGGAGAGCATTATTTTCATTACTGATCATTTAAAAAAATACAACAATTAACACGAAAACGTCTTTCCTCGCTCCAGTTTTTCTGTAGACTTCATATAAGGCACATGCAAATCAAGTCATGTATGCACATAGACGCAGATGTACTGCATATAGGGCACAGAACTGAAAGTCAAGTACAATATTTATAATATATAAAAGTACGATATATTACAACCTCCCATCACTTTAGCCAAAGTATTTATATAAGTAATACAAAGAGAGAATGGTAAATCAAAGCAAATGAGTACAAAAAGTAAAAATAAATTAAAATTAATATAGAATTATTTATGTTCATATTTATATTTATATACTGGCAGCCTCAGTCATCTGCATTCATGATAAATAGTATCTGAGAAAGAAAAAGGCATCTCAACTTTAAAAAAAAGCCCCTTCATATTTTTTAACATTTACAAAGGTTAGCTGCTCAGATGTAGTTTATGAAATTCCTGATGACTGGTTGAATTTGGCTTTAAACCAGAAAAGTCTTAAAAAGTTGCAATAAGTATTGATCAAATGTTGCACAAGCAGGCTTTATGCTTATTAGCATTTCATCCATGCTTATTCCTGTAACGACCATTTTCTGATTTGGCAGCTTCAGAAGAGAAATTGTAGGATTTGCTATCGGTTTTTAATAAAAAGATTTAGAAGGCTTTGATCAGACAAAGCAGTGGAGAGAATCTATATAATTCTGAGAAAGAAGCATGATTTATAAGAGGACAGCTGTTGGAAATACACATTTTTGAACATTTCAGCACTTTTTAATTATACTACCAAAAAGAATATATTATCTTATTATGCCTTAGATTTTTAAAATAATGTACAGCAGCTTACCTTTTGTACTTGATATTCAACAAAGAATAAATTGCACCGCCAATACACAATGGATATAGCAAATATGACAAATATTTCATAGCCTGAGAGAGAGAAACAAAAAAACAAACTAAATATATATTTTCATCTTTTTTTTAAATGGCCACTTGCATTATTCCCCTTTCATCATTATAACACCACTTGTACAGAATAACTTGCTATCCTGAGAGGTAAAGGCTGATGCGCCTTTGGATTCCAAGATCCAACAATATTCAATGAACTTCATCAAATTCACATATATCGGTAAATAAAAGCTGGGCAAAAAGACCTCATTGGAATAAAATCTGAGCATTTCAGCCAGCACTTCCATCTCAGTATAATAAGGTGGAAGTTTTATAAACTTCAATATAAAAAACCAAGAAGGCTGAATACCATTATTTAGAATTTTTAAAAAAATACAATTTCTATGCGGTACTAAATATTTAAATGCATCAAAGATTCTGCCCACAGAACCAAAATTAGAAGGAAAAGACCATCATTTTTAAAGCAGATATATTTTTTATAAAGAAATAACATGAATCAAATTTAGTTTCTGTGCTGGTCTTAACCACAATTTTTAAAGTTTAGCCCTTAGCCTGCCACTGAAATGGCATCTGTGATCCTAGGATTATAAAAAATGTTTGTCCTCCTGCTTTAGGTCCAGGCTAATTAACATATATGATCACGTTCAACTACTTAAATTATTAGGTACAAATTAAACCTAGAACTGCAACTAGCCAAAAACTGCTAAAGCTATTGTTATTAGTAGTCTTTAACTTTTTTTTTTTTTTTGACATTTTGATTGGTTCATTTGACATTTTGATTGTAACTGCCAGGCACTTTGTGTAGATATTAACACTGGATTATAATCCTCTAGACAATTGATCATTAAGATCTGAATCTTCCTTTATGAGTTAGTACAGATACTTTTCAACAGGAATTCATATTGTTAAAAAACTGACCTTGGAATTTTGTCTGGAAAAGGTAAATTCTATTTTTTTTTTAGATATCACTACTGATTTTTTACCACCACAGAATTCTTTCCACACAGCAATTTCAGAGTTGCTGAAATTGCTCTAACTCCTCTATGATGACAATTTAAGTTGTTAGGCTATTCATATGTTCAAGAACAATAGGAGAAGATGCCATCATTACAGATAGTCCTCAACTTACAACCATCCATTTAGTGACTGTTTCAAATTACAATGGCATTGAAAACGTGACATGATCATTTTTCACACTTAAAACTGTTAGAGCATCCCCATGGTCATGTGATCAAAATTCAGTTGCTTGGCAATCGGCATGTATTTTTGACAGTTGTGGTGTCCGGGGATCATGTGATCACCTACTGTGACCTTCTGACAAGCATAGTCAATGGGAAACTCAAATTCACTTAACAACCGTTGCTAATGTAACAACTGCAGTGATTCATTTAACTATGGCAAGATAGATTGTAAAATGGGGCAAGGCTCACTTAAAAACTATCTTGCTTAGCAAAGAAATGTTGGGCTTAATTGTGGTCATAAGTCAAGGATTATCTGTATAGTAAGAAAGCATGCTTTACTGCTTCCCAGTTTGATTCTGTAGTCAACTCAGTATAGGAATTGGCATAACAATTTCACAAATCAGTAAACTAAAAATAACACTAAACATAGGGTTATTTTACCTGAGTATCATATTCCTCAGTTTTCTTCTCAGACTCCGTAAATGCTCCAAACTATGCAGAATATAAGAATTAATCAGTATAAATCATTTTATTTATGATCCCAGACCAATAAAACCCAAATATAAAATTTAAAATATAGGAAAAAAATAAACAAACCTAAAATAGTTAAAAATCTATCCAGCTTCTGCAAGCTGGAACTAGTGCTGGAAATTTGGCAATCTTTACAGTGGTTATGTAATTTAGGCCTTGCAGAAGACATACTCTTGACCAGAAAGATAATTAAGATTTCTTATCATTGGGTTTATGAGAGCCAGACGCCATGGGTGATATGAGGGTTAGTGTAATATATGGACTACTAACTCAGTCTGTGTATTTGAGCAAAAATCTACGGTATATCATTATTGTACAGACTTATATATTTGCCTGCAGTCTCCATAATAGCAGTGTGTCAATTTGAGGTTCATTAAGACTTTAGCTGGGCAATCAGTGTAAAGATTTAATTCCAAAATGCTAGGTGGTCTAATTACAGATCTCACTTTGTACAGATTAAACACACTACCATATGCAATCTCTTCCATTCTGAAGAGGGACAATTTTTTAAAATATATAAATAATATATATATAATTATATATATAATTATATATATTAGCCTAACACTTTACATCCTGACCAGATGAAAATCCAAAATTGGGAATAGTTTGAGTAATTCACATAACATTTAAAAAATGAAATACCTTTATTGCTGGTATCAGACCATTCCATTCAATTGTCATTTTCATTGCTTTCTTCACTTTCCAAAGCTAGAGGATAAAAGATGAGTTTAATATTTTAATATACTGCATTACAAATTTATTTGTTTCACTGTATAACCTGATTATGATATTTAATTATAACTAGACCTGAACTCCTTGGCATTGGCATTTAATTCTAACGTTTCTTAACTACCTTTTGGAAAGAACATGAGTTGTCATGATTGTTTAACAATGACTGCATAACAGAGAAATGATATACTCAGCTCTGTTTCTATATATGTGGTTCTCCAATAAAATGGAATGTATGATGTTCAACCTTTAACAGGAGTACTACGGTATTGCTTAGGACTTCATTCACCCCAAAAGCAAAACTTTACATATCAACTCAATGATATTTAACTAACATATGCTGAAATAAATATTTTCTTTTGGTCTTATGGTCAAACCATGAATATAGAAATCTTAATTTCTCAAATGATTCTTATAAAGCTATTCCACACTTGTTTTTTTCTTTTATATGAGATCTATTTTGCAATAAGGTTATTGTATGGACAGAATATGTAGTTGCAGTTACCTTTATGAGTGCAAAGTATAGCTAATATAGTATATATATAGTGTCTGTATACACACATACAAACACACACATACTATATATAGCTCTGAGGTTCATATAAATAGGCAAGCCTAAATAGAAGGGGCAAAAGATATCAAACAAATGAATCAGTCTTTCAGATAACTAATACTAAAGATTCAGAAAAAAAATCTAGCACAGAATATGCCTCAATTGTACCGGTACCTTGAATTTAAAAAAGCTCTTAAGAAAGTGAAGATACAGTAGAACCTCTGGTCACGACCAAATCAGGTTCTGACAAAAAAATGCACATTTTTTTCCCCTCACAGCCAATTTCACCCTTCCGCACAATTTTTTTTGTAAGTGCCAAATTTCCAAAATTAGGTTCGGGTCACGATCAAATCGGTTTGTGACTAAAGTTATTGACCAACGAATTATGGTCATGACCAGAGGTTCTACTGTACTACTAACAGTTTGTGAGTAATGGATGCTGGAAATCCCAATAGTGAAAAAATAGGACCTCTTTGCTCCTGCATTGCTCTTCCTTTTTTCTGTATGACCAGGAAGACAGAATTATGCAGAAGAGCAGAAATGACAGCACATACTATACCAAATAGGGATAAACATGCAAATAGAAGTCATGCACCCCATCAAACAAATCAAGTAACTGATCTCAGCCAATTTTTTTTCAAATCTCAGGACGGAATAATTGACATATTGTTCAACTAATTTCCATCTTCATTAGTTCAATTTATGAATCAATTTAGAATACAAATAACTTGCAACTAAGCTGGTTCTGACCTATTAAAATAAATTCAATCATGACAGTTTAAATCCTTGCATTCTTACTAAGCTGCTTTGAGAACTCATCTGTCTGCGCTTATACTGTACGTATCACATGTAGAGATAAATAACAGCTCACCTCAATCACTGCTCCAATACCAGCTGGAATCAGTACCAATAAGCTTGTTTGTTCATCCAACAGAAAAAGAAATATGATCACAGTGCTGAAACATCTCCAGAGCACTGCATGAAAAGAATTCACATTAGTGTACTGTGGATTTTTAAAAACTACATTGCACAATTTGGAAAAAAATCTGGATACATTTGAAAAACTATCTACTTATTTTGAAAAATAAATTGGAATCAGAGATACAAACCATTTTGTTAAACTATGGTTCTCTAAATAAAACATAACCACACTGCACAACATACTAAGCCAGTTTGCAAACAGTAATGGCTAGCTTTAAACAACATGCAAAACTAAAACATATTTTGGCTAGCACAATAAAACCTAAAAGTTTGAATAATTATAGTTCTACATATCCACATAGAACTAAGTAACAGTATTCAGTGTATAGCATTCTTTAAAACTAGAATAATAATAAACACTGAACAGTGTTAAAATTTGGACCACTTTTTAAGGCAAAAACTTGTAATCCAACTGCATTTTTTTTTTTGCCCATTGTATTTCTTGTTGTAGACATGTTGGTTAACCCAGACTTTAAAGATGTATTCCTGTAGTAAGTTTTTCCCTTCCTAGAAGCAACACAAAGCAGTGCTGCAGGGACGAGTAGCAGGGAGGACAGCTACAATGAGGGCATTGCAGTGGAGATGAACCAATGATTCCCACATTAATAATGATGGGATTTGATATTTTACCTGAGAATTTGCCTGATTTGTGCTGAATCTCTCATCTTCTACCATTTAGGAATGACAACAATGAAAAACACAATCCTAATGAACAGGATTTGCCATTCCCTCAGTGGAGTGTATTATAATTTTAGAAGCAGTGTAAAATTCTGCTTTCAATAAGCATGTATAACATTGAACGAAAGACTACACATGTGAAATAAGGCTTAAGGGGAATAAAACAATGGAGAGGGACTTTTCACAATAATCTTTCAGTATATTCTCTGAGACAGCACAAAGAAAGCAGATCATGATCACAGCATATTTTCAGTGGGGGCCCTGCTATTTTAGAACATTCTAGTCTCTGAAGCCTATTGAGTGATGTCTGGAAGTACTAGAAAAATCAAATTAAGACAATATTGTTTCAACAAGTTTTTAATTAATAGGATTACTAGAATATTATCTAACCATTGCTATAATCCTTCATATCCCTGATTTTACAACAACCATTTAAAATTTTGTTTAGAATTTTCATAGTTATACTTTATTGGGAGTAAATGGCTGTGTGCATTGCTAACACTGGAAAATAGCAAATATTTTCCAGTGTAGGTAAATATGCTATGTACCTGCTTTTGTAGACATGCCAATCATACTCTTCTTTTTCTTCCAGAAGCTGATGTCATTTTTGAATGCAAGGAAATCAAAGAGAAGCTGAAAATGAAAAGTATCACCATACCATTAACACAGTTATTACTATTTTAAAAAACGAATATAACAACACTTTAAGAGCTGGCACAACCTTGCATCTTACTACAGTTTTACACCTGCTCAGATATAGTTGACAATATTTTAGGATGCTGAAAGAAGGAAAACAGTTTCTGTTTACCATGTCCCATAGTTACCCAACTTTCAATGCTACCTTTTATATTTTTTCTTTTACCATAATATAAGGGGAGAAAAGTGTATTTCAACCTGAGTCCATTACATCTAAATTCAATACTCTAACTGTTCATTAAACTATATAGCAAGAAACATGTTCTTGAATCAGACCAGAGCTATTTTAAATAGGAGTCTGATATACATACTAATATATATGAAGCGGTATCTATCAGAAATAGAATTTTATATTACCTAGATGCATATCAGTATTGTTATTATTGTCTAAAACACATGATCTGCTTACATGGAAAGCTGCAACAAAAAATGTCAAAGCAAGAAAATAGAGGTTTGTATCCACAAATATTCCCTTTACTTCATCAGCATCTTTTTCTGAAAAACCTAGAAGAATAAACAGAATACATATCTGATCATTAAGATGAAACAGATGTTCTTAGAAATTTAAGTTAAATTTAAAACATTAAATATTATTTTGTAAATACTGAAATAATTCTTGCAAATCTTTATTAAGCATACAGTTTTAGGCAAAAAATAAAGCTTCAACAGCATTTATTTATGCCTTTCCCATGTGCAGACTGACGTCCAAACCAGGAATAGTCTCACTGCACATAAGAGGTGAAAAATGTGGGACGCTTTATAGAGCTTCTTGGCTTCCAATTAATTTTCGTAATATTGAACCATAAAGCATAAATCATAAATCCAAAATACAAATAGTCCTCGGGTTACAACAGCAACTGGGATTGGGATTCCTGTTGCTATGCAATACGGTGGTAAAGCACAATGTCATATGACTGCATTGCCTAAGGATGGCGATCCAGACAATCCTGGTTACTGTAACCCCAACATACATGGGTCATTAAATGGGAAGCAGCAGGAGCCCCAAGTAAGGGAGAGCATGTGTCATGGGAGGATAGAGGGGTGCCAAAACAGGGTTGGGGAGGCTGGCACAGGCTGCATGTGAGTCAGGGAGGCCTTGGGACACCCGGTGCAGACTACGCAAGTCAAGGGGGGTTGGGGGAGGGTTTGGGACAGTGGTGGGTTTCAAAAAATTTTATTACCGGTTCTGTGGGTGTGGTTTGGTGGGTGTGGCTTGGTGGGCTTGGCAGGGGAAGGATACTGTAAAATCTCCATTCCCACCCCACTCCAAGGGAAGGTTGCTGCAAAAGCCCCATTTCCTCCCGATCAGCTGGGACTTGGGAGACAGAGAATAGATGGGGGCAGGGCCAGTCAGAATTTTTACTACTGGTTCTCCAGACCTGGTCAGAACCTGCTGAAACCCACCTCTGGTTTGGGAGGCACATCACATGCTATGTACAAGTTAAAGGAAGCCTAGACGAGTAAAGACAATGCATGGGGTTGGTGCTGCGGGTGGAAATGACTTACTGGAGAAACTTGCAATTTTCCCTGCCAGCTTCTCTACTGACTTGGCTTGTGAGAAGCTAGCAGGGAAATAGTGATATTGTAATTGCCAGCTGGGCACCTAAGTGCCTGGATCATGATCACATGACTGCAGAGGTGCTGTGATGACTGGAATTTCAGGGACTGGTTGTATGTCTATTTTTTCAGCACCATTTTAACTTTGAATAGTTACTGAATGAATGGAGGACTACCCGTAAAATTTCAATTTCAATTTTTTTTAAAAAATCATGTGGAATGCCTAATCAAAACCAGTTTATCAAAGAGTCCACTGTACTTCCATGAATAATCCAGAAACAGAGGCTTACCAAATTGCTGTAGAGAGTAAACAGCGTCTTGCATATGAATCCAAAATCGCAATTTTCCCAATGATATTTTATCATATGACACTGTAAGTGGAAGTTCTGTTGTTGAACGGTTTATAATCTGCATTAGGTTAAAATATTTCACAAGATTAAAAATAAATTGGATATTACTGAAATACTTCTTACCAGTATTAACAGTTAATAAAAATGGCTAAGGTCTAATTATACATTTTTCCCCAAAATATTCAAAAGAAAAACAATATTATTCAGAAATGTTCCTCCATAATATTTATGAAATCAGTATCGCCTAAGTGTTATTTTGCAAATAATTATTGTATCATTTCTGGTAGAAATTATATTTAAATTATCTAAACTTCACCAAAGAATAAGATAACAATTAAATATAGGGAGCAATTCAGTATATTTTGTAAAAACTCATCCATCCACCCATCCATGCATCCATTCCTTCAGCTGCCAACTCATGCACATCTTACAGGGATTAAAACAATTTAAAATAACCCACAGACATGGCCATGCCATTGGAAAAAAAATCCACAAAAAAGTAAGAATGTGCTTAGATTCAATAATAGGCTCATATATATAAAGCCCTTGCCCAGTGCCTTAGAAGAGAGATAGGTTTGGGGCTGTTCTTTTGAAGGACAGCAGAACTAGGGCTGGATAGATCTTGGGGTTCGGGGGAGGCAGGTAATAGAGAAGATGAGAACTAATTCACGATTTGCTAAAGTAATGTTTTAAATTTATACATGTTATTTTAACTTGCACTATATATGGTGCATATGCACTATGATGCCGTCGGCCAAACAATGTCAACTGGCGGCCCCCAGGGGGAGAGCCTTCTCTGTGGGGGCACCTACTATCTGGAACGAGCTCCCCCCGGAGATACGGAAGATTCCGGATCTGCGTACCTTCCGTCGCGCGCTCAAGACGTTCTTATTTCATCAAGCTGGCCTGACCTAAGTTTTTCCCCTTTTTAAATGGAAATTTTAAATTTGGTTTTAAATTATTGGGGTTTTAAATTTTCAGCCAAATTATTTAATTCATTTTACTCTATTTTAAATTTTGTATTTATATGTTTTATTCTATGTCTATTCACCGCCCTGAGTCCTTCGGGAGTAGGGCGGTATACAAATTTAATAAAATAAAATAAATAAATAAATAAAATAAGTATTTAAAAATAAGCACATCATTGAAACTGCTTTTCCATGAAGAAAATGTATGTTTTGAACTTTTTCCCTTAGAAAAAGGGCAGCTACTGAGAGTAGGAGACCATGGAATTAATATAGGGATATTCTTTTTTACCTCCCTCTCATATTAATGATTGCATGAGCCAAGACTAATCAATGTTTTGACACAAGGTGCATAAATACATTATGGAATTCAATGTCAAAGGTTTATTGGTCTGGGACCACAAAGAAATATTTTCATTCGCATACCAGTGTTGTACTTGTCAACTCAAATTCTAATGGCAATAAGGTACCAATAGTGGTTAGCTTTCCTATATAAAATGCTAGAGAAAATTAGAACAAATCCTGTTACCCTCATATGGTGTTGTGGAGTTTTCACTTAACATTTGGACTAGTTATGATATGGTAGTAGTACACCTAGTTGGGCTCATATTTTTATTAGTTTCTTATAAAGTTTCTCTTACACATATTCTGCTGTACAAAAGAAACATCATTAACTCTAAAATATTTTCACTGACTTTGTAGGATATATGTTCAGTGTGAGAAGCAGACTATTATTGGGGCTTATGGATACTAAATTAGAAGAGATTCTTTAAAAAATTCATTTTGTATATGATAACAGCAGCAAGATTGTTATATGGACAAAATGAAACAGAATTGAAATTCTTGGAAGAAGGGATAGTAAAACTGTCAGAATTAGCAGAAATGGCAGAACTGCCCTGTTAGATCAGGGTGAAAATAAGTGCTTTTCTAAAAGAAAATGGAACCCTTTTATTGATTTTTTGTTAAAAGAAGAAAAAAGTGAAATGATTTATGGATTTAATGATTGTAAAATATGAGAATCGGCTGAGGGGATCTCTGGAGGAGATAAAAAGTAGGGGAGATGATGGATTTATCAATATACGGTATATTGAAGAAAAGGTCAGAAGTTGTTTTTTTGTAACTTTATTTTCTTTCCTTGCACTCCTTTTTAGATTTGTCATTTACTTTCTATAAAATTCTCAATAAAGAGAGAAGCAGACTAATTAAAAAGAAAACACAATTGTTACTTACCATTAAATCTTTTACTCTGTTACTCAGCTGATCAATAAATAATATTGGAAGATAATGCACTGTCTTGCCCAATTGTATCCTGCATTTAAAAAAAAATGTGTATTATTAATGCATCAGTCTTGACACAGAGATTTCCATCCTAAATAAATAATTTTACAATATGTGTTTCAGAAAGAGGTGTCCTAATATATCTTATATTGTATAAAACAAGTCTTAGATTGAACATTTACAAGTAGCCCTCACATACTGACCAATTGTTCAGGTTCAGAGTTACAACAGTGCTGAGTAAGCAGATTGACAACTGGTCCCTGAAGATGCAGCTGTCACAGCATCCTTGCAATCATGTGATTGTGATTCGAGTGCTTGGCAACTGTCCAGCACATTTACAAAGGCACAATGTTTGGCATCCAAGAGATTGCCATTTGCAACCTTCACAGGTGATTTCTGATAACCAAAGTCAATGGGGAAGTCAGCAGGAAGTCGCAAGTTGTGAGCATGTGATTTCTTATTGACCTGTTGTGATTCGCTTAATGACTGCAGCTGGAATTGAGTCGCCTTCATAAGTTGGGTGTGGTCACATGATTTTTCATTTTATGACAAAGTTGCTGGTTCCAATTTGGTTAATGAGGACCACCTGTACATAGTTGTTTGTTTTTGGACCAAAAAAGGAATTTTCTTTCTGGATCAGTATATATGGAATATAGGCATCTTCTATACACCCTAAATTTATATCTCAGAACTGCAAAATAGGTAAATGTTATTGAGCCCTCAATACAAAACAACAGTCAGATAAGCTTCTGATACTAGAAGCAAAAACCGGTTATGAATATGGCAATGAGTCTGAGAGACCAGCTGTTTTCTTAAGAGATCTGATTTTAAGTTCCTTGTTAAATGTATCTTCTTGCAAGCAAATAATAGAAGCTTCACATAGTTTAGTATGGAATAAACTCTCAGTTTACATTAAGTGATGCAATCAATTTTTATACGTCTCCCAACTTCTTTCAAGTTGCTCAAGGCAACATACAAGTGTCTATTCTTTTTTTTTTTAAATCACCATCTGAAGTAATTTAGAGGAAGAAATATATCATGCTCAAGGTTGTTTGAAATCTTGAAAGCTTAATAACTAATCAAAGGTTTGAATATCAATCTTTATGGCTGAATCAATAATATACAATAATTATCTTACTACTATGCTAGGCAGCAGTAGTTTGGGTTAGCTTCAAAGCCCCCAAATGCAATACAATTGCTTTCAAAGACTAAATCATTTGTTAAAAGTAATCTGAAAATGAAAAATGTGTTGAAATAGCAGCGTTTCCCAACTTTGGTCTATTCTGGGTTCACATATCTGGAGACTGTCCAAGTTAGGAAGGCTGCACTATTTTCTTTTGATTGCTACTTTGCACACAGGTTACAGAGAGACAGGATCTTGGAGTCTGGAGAAACAAAAATATGACCCAGAGTGGCAAAATATTATTTGCCCCTGTTAAAAGCCATGATATTAAAGACTATTTTTTATCCTATGTGGACTTTACCAGAAGCAAAATCAATTATTAGCTTACATTTTCATATATCTGTGTACATCAGCTGGGAGAGAGGATCCATCAAAGACAAAGTCTTCCACCATAACGTTTAAGGTCAACCTAGACCTCCAGTGTGACACAGGCTCATCTAGGGCATAGTTCTGCTTTTTTTCTGTTTCAATTTGCTATTTAATTAAGAAAAAAATGTAAACAAGATTTAGTATGACTTCGCAAACATAACATGCTTGCAACAACAGAATAAAACTATCGTTTTAGTTATTACTTAAGCACTAAAATCACTTATCACTAAATACCTCCTTGCATCCTCTCTCTAGACAAATATTACATTTGAGGGGAAAACTCAAAATAACAGTAACAGAGGAATCACTTTACAAACTTTTACAAAGCGAGAAACAAAAGCTCAAAATGCATTTTTTAAGAATCAAAGTGGATATAGAATTGGCAGGTTCAGGACAGATGCGAGTAAGAGTTAACTTCATTTGAATATATTTTGTTGCTATCAAAGAAACATGTATTTTCTAAATTGAATACAGAAAGAAAATGATAGAAATCACTGTGGTATTTCACAGAAAAGCAAATATCTCTGTCCTGTTTTGAACAATTCATGATCTAAGCAAGACTATTTGTAGCTTTTTAATTAAAAAACAACACCCAAATTCCTATGAACAATACATCATTTTATTTCATTGGTTGGTTCTTTAGATTTCAGAAACTAACCCCCCCCCCAAAAAAAACAGGGAAAATAATCTCACCTGGGTGATAGGTTCTCCTGTAAGAAGATTGATTTCCTCTGGTTTAGGTACCATGTACGTAGTGAGAGGGCTTACTATATGCACTTGCTTGCCATCATGCCAAGGCAGAATTCCAGCATGATGAAGAAATATGTAGGCATATAATGTCCCATTATTTCTTGTTTTCTTTGGTACAGAAACGTTAACTGTTCTAAAAAGATAAAACATAATTTATAAAAATGCTTACACTTGTTCATAGAGATAGGGTAAATACATACAGTATCTGTTTAATTCCAAAAGTGAATTGCTAGCATTTTAACTGTCATCAATAGATTTTTCTTCATTATTTGAAAACTTTCATAATTAGGGTTTAAGTATTTTACAGATGATGCTAAAATAACAATCATAATCCAGTTTAGATTTTAATTGAGCATCAGTGGGAATTAATCAGCAAATAAATTTAATAAATAATAGTAATGTCAGATAAAGCCCCAGATTTAATTGCCTACACTGTTTCCCCGAAAATAAGACATCCCCTGATAATAAGCCCAATCGAGCTTTTGAGCGCATGCGCTAAAATAAGCCTCCCCTCAAAAATAAGCCCTCCCTGAAAATATTTAAACGCAATCAGTTAAGACGGCAAGAGGAGCCCCATCTTGCTCCACAATAAGACCTCCCTGAAAATAAGCCTAAGTGCTTATTTTGGGGTTCAAAAAACTATAAGACAGAGTCTTATTTTCAGGGAAACATGGTATCAGAAACACAAAAAGTCTGGATAGTGGATGTGACAGTACCTAGAGACAGCAGAATAAAAGAGAAAACTGGAGAAAATCACAAAATACAAAGACCTGCAAAAAGAAGTAGAATGACTGTGGCAAAAGAAAGGAAAGGTATTACCAATAGTAATAGGTGCATCGGGTGCAATCCCAAAACAACTGAAGCACCATTTGAACATCATTGGCATTGACAAAATCACAAGTCAGTTTGCAAAAGGCAGCTTTACTTGGAACAGTTCACATCCTGCGACAATGCCTTTAACACCATCAAACAACAACATCTGACTATTCCAGGTCCTTGGGAAGGACGCAATAAGTGGATAAAAATGCCACATCCCAACTAAATATCTGGCTGACTGTGCAACAAACCATAATGAATTGGAATATTTTGAAATCACTAGAATTTCAATTGGGTGAATTTCAAATAGGTGACTTCGGGCCAGTCACGCTCTCCTAGCCCATCTTACCTCACAGGGTTGTTGTGGGGAAAATAGAAGGTGGAAAGAATATTAGATATGCTTGCCATCTTGAATTATTTTTACAAATAATAACAGTGAGATTAAAAACTTTTCTTTTCCATCAAGCAGGGCTGGCGTGAACCACCACCCCCCTTTTAGCTCTTTTTTAGCTCTTTTTAGCTTCTTAGCTTTTAAGTGTAAATTGGGTTTTAATTGGATTGTTTTAAACTGTGGGCCAAAGTTGTATAATTCTTTTAATTTTATTTTTTTTTTAATTTGATTTATATGCCGCCCTTCTCCGGAGACTCAGGGCGGCTTACAATGCATTAAGCAATAGCCTTCATCCTTTTGTATATTTTATACAAAGTCAGCTTATTGCCCCCACAAACTGGGTCCTCATTTCACCTACCTTAGAAAGGATGGAAGGCTGAGTCAACCTTGAGCCTTGGAGAGATTCGAACCAGCAGAAATTGCAGGCAGCTGTGTTAATAACAGGGTGCACTAAACCACTGTACTATCAAGGCTCTTGATAAATTGATTTTAAATTTTGTATTAGTATGTTTTTTATCCTTGGCTGTGCACCGCCCTGAGTCCAATAGGAGAAGGGCGGTATATAAATTGAATTAATAATAATAATAATAATAATAATAATAATAATAATAATAATAATAATAATTGATTTTTTTTAAAAAATACATACATTTGTAAGTGCCACATTTGATAAAACCACAAAAGCAGTTACAATTCATACAGAAGCAACTTCATTTATTTATTTATTTGTTCGATTTATATGCCGTCCTTCGGAGACTCAGGGCGGCTTACAATGCGTTAAGCAATAGCCTTCATACTTTTGTATGTACCTGCTTAGTAGGGCTCTCGGCCACCCCCCAAGCGGTGTTCTTTTTTATACAAAGTCAGCTTATTGCCCCCACAAACCGGGTCCTCATTTTACCTACCTCGAAAGGATGGAAGGCTGAGTCAACCTTGAGCCTGGTGAGATTTGAACTTGCAGTAATTGCAGGCAGCTGGTGCTATTTAACAGCACTTTAGTCTCCTGCGCCACCAAGGCTCTTTTTTAATGCCTTCTAATGAACAGAGCGGAGTTCCCAAAAGCTTATGCCTTCTAATAAGATGTGTTAGTTGGAAAAAGTGCTACTAGACTTCTTTTGACTTTTTGCCACCATAGATTAACATGACTCTCTTCCTATAACATCATTTTTTGCAGTCCAGTAAACACTCTGCTCATGGCCTATTACTGTTATCTCCATTTTATTTAAGTCTCTACAGGTCTAACAAAAAAAAACAAAAACTGGTTTTCGTATAAATGAGAAAAGAATAGACCAGTAGTGGGGAAAAAAATAGCTACTTTCACTTTTGCAAGAGACAACAGCAATGCGCTTCTGAGATTTCTGTCAAAGTCTACACTGCATAAGAAGCACTACTTCTCATTTTGTTTCTTGCCTAAGGAACAGTAGTGAAAAAAATTCTATCCATCCCATGTGATACAGAATTACAGCAAAGTAAGAGTTAGCAATAATAAAAATAAACTTTGTTATTAAATTATAGAAAGTTTATGGAAAGTTTAAGCAAAATACAGTATGTGTAAATCCAGAAAAATATATAGATAAGCTTAGAATTACACTTTAAACACACTTACTTTGAAGTAAACCCTATTAACATCAATTAGGCTTACTTCTCATAAATGTGATTAAAACTGAAAGGTCAGGCTGGTCTGATATCTTGTAAGCTTGTAAGTTTTTTTGTAATAAAAAACAAACAAACAAACAAAGAAATATATGACCTGGATTTTTTTCATGAAATATACTGGCTAATGGGTAATAATAGGTATTTCTATAATGGTTTAAACAAATGTTAATACAGTCACTAATATAAATAGGGATCAAATGTAATTTACTAAAATTTGATATAGGATGGGTACAAAAGAGATATTTTGAAAAAACTGAACAAACAAATTCAAATACCTTTCAAATTTAGTTTCAACATCAAAATTGTCCACGTTCAAAACCAGGTCGATGTTATTTTCAGTGCCTATGTTTGAGCGTGTAGTCGTATAAACGCTTAGCTGAAACAGAAGAAAGACCATTAATAATTGCTGTTTTGCTGGATGGCTTAAAGATTCCTGCCTTAATCATTCTTTCTTTCATCTTGGATGACATGTTTCCTCATACGTGCTACCACTCTTCTCTCTCCCTTCCTCAAAAATGGTTTGGTCAAACTGAAAAAAATGAGATTTAAAAAAATGCATGCAACTTCCTTCTCCCTACTCATTTGAGTCAATTTGTATGCCTCATCAAGATGAAAGGAACCCATTAGTCAATTCACTGTAGTTTGGCAAGGACTTAACGAGCTTCCTGTATGTTCCTACTGCAGATACAGGGTGATTGACAAGTAAATCATAATATATGCTCCACTTGTAACAATCTTTTTGGAAGGGTGCAAGTTGTACAACCTGTTCAAATCAAAGAGATCTCTCCATCCTTCTTCTAAAAGGTGGGAAAAAAACAAAGCACAAAATATGGAAAAGGTGAAAAAAAAATCAATTCATGAATTAGTGCTTACCAAAATTTGGTGCTCCCTCCAGGTTTGGTAGAAAAGGAGCAGCTGCTATAGATTGGAAGCTAATATATTTAGTACGCCAATACATGCCCATATAGTACATCTACTTTTTGTTTATTGAACATATGTAGTTCATATTAATGGACCAATAAAGAGCATGGAATAATGCTAAGTCCCTGATTTATGACCACAATTAGGACCAAAATTTCTGTTGTTAAGTGACATAGTTAAGTGACTATTGCACCATTTTATGACTTTTCTTGCCAAAGTTAAGTGAATCACTGCAGTTGTTAAGTTAGTAACATGGTTGCTAAGTGAATCTGCTTCCTCATTGACTTTACTTGTCAGAAAGCTGACCCTGGGATACTACAACTGTCATAAATATGAAGTAGTTGCCACATTGATCATGTGACTTTGGGGGGATGCAACAGTCATAAGTGTGAAAAATGGTCATAAGTCACTTTTTGAGTACTGTTATAACTTCGAACAGTCACTAAATGAACTGTTGTAAGTCGAGGACTACATGTACTCCTGTAGGCTACAATTTTATATAAAAGAGGCACTACTGTCATTTCTTATCCTTCTACACTTTGCAGCAGTTGTCAGAAAAATCCTAGCAACATATGTGGACAGAACTGGGCAAAATAGAAAAAAATAGTACTCTGCCATATTGGAAAAAGGAAGGAAAAAAGGCAACATTGCAGACTGTGGTATGGTAAATACCGGTTGGCACAACTCCCTCATACAAGAAGCTAAGGAAAAAATAAAAATAAGCTTTTTTCATGGCTAGAGTGGTAGGACTCTGTAGACCAGTACATCCCAGAACAAGGATCTGGGCAAGGTGCAGACATTAACACTGCGCTATGAGATAATCTGCCTACTTAATGCCTCCTGGGATCAGGGGAAACGACACTGGGTTAAATAATCTGTAAAATACTCTGGCAAGGCCCTTCCAATTGCAACGAAAGGGGCTTTTGCTTTAGAAATTTCAATTGCAGCACTGATCTTCCATGTTAAGTACAGCAAAAATAAATAAATAAATAAATAAATCCAGCCTGTCAAAGTTCACCTGTCAAAGTTCACCTGCATCTCAGTCCGAAGGGGGGGGGGAAGAGAGCAATTTATGCCACTCCGCCCCACCCCAATCAGGAAGCGCCACTGCATCGCTGCCAACCGTTACCGCTCATCCGCACCTAGGACTCAGGTGGGGAGAAGGAAAAAAAAAAAAGGGGGGGGGGGGGGTTGCTCACCTGGAGCTTGGGCCGCCGCGCCAGGTAAGGCCGGATGCAGCCGTCGTTGCTTTCGCCTTCGTGGATGGCAGCGAGGCAGGGCCGGGTATGGACGATGCCGTACATCACCCAGCAGGTGTGTGCCACGTAGACGGCAAAGAGCCCCACCGCCAGCCCCGTCAGCGAGCTGCGCCTCGGCAGCATCGCCCCCCAAGACCAGCGCCGCGGCCGCCACCGGCATCGACCACCCACCACAGGGAGCAGCGCACGACACCGAGCGCTCTAACTCCGGGGCCGTTGCCCGAGGCGAGCGCGATCAGCTCCCCAGCCGCTTCTCTGCTTCGGATCTCCCTTCTTTCGACAACGGAAACGGAGCGGCCCGCGCGGAGAGTGCTGGGAAACGTAGTCTCTTAGAAGACAATGGCATCCCGGGCGAGCGTTTGCAAGAGTCAGCCTGCAACGCGAACGTTCCCACAGGAGGTCCACATTCTCGCCTCGATCTGACCCTAACTTGACAACTCTGGAGTGCGTGCTTTACATGGCAGAAAGGATCCTTGGAATATATATATATATTTAAAAAAAGATAGCCTGAAAGTTATAAAATATTCTACCACTTAAGATAATCGACTCTGCTTTAAACGAGCCCCCCACAAGCCATTACGTTTTATTTATTAGAATTTGTCAATCAAAAACGAGAACAAGAATAAAAAAATAAAAATACAATGACAGGGACGATAGGCACGTTATCGCCCCCTCTACTGACCACTTAAGTATGATGTTGCTTAAACGGCAGATCTTTTTGGAATGCTTCCCACAAGAAAGTTGGAAATACCCTTTTAAGTAGAGCTACCAGATCTAGGCTGAAAAAATATTTCCCCGTACTATAGTATTTCCAACTTTCTTGTGGGAAGCATTCCAAAAAGATCTGCCCATTTAGTTTGAGTTTTCTATGGTGTGCTGTGTATTTATAAATCTGAACTCAAATCCGAGTCAGGAAGAAGGGTTTTAGTATGAGCTGAAGCTGTGGTCTCAAAACATGTTTTCAAAAGCAGTTATGTGTATTGTGTCTCAAGTAGCGCTTCAGTCAAGCTTTGTGGTTTACCATGCTATCCTTAATAGAATCCTCTGGAGCTTACCATAAAATTGGTATAGTGGGTGATAATTGTATTGGACATGCTAATATCCTAAACCTTAAGCTTCTTAAGTGAAGTAGAGACAGCTCAAAGATGGCAGTGTTAGCTGTCAAGAGATGAGCAGTCATTGTAGGAGTGGTTCCAAAGTTTTTTTAAAAAGTTCTGTTTAGCAATTGTAAGTTTCACCCTCACTATGAGCATGTAATGGCATACCTTATTTCTAAAATTCAATTGGTAACTTGTGTTTAAATATAATATAAATATTTTGGCTTATATGTACACTTATTTAGGATGAATCAGTTATTAGTCTTTGATATAATGTTTAGCTGTGTACACACAAGGCTAAATCAGAAACCCTCACTAAGGAGTGCACGTTTTCCATTTTGCAACTCCCTGGTTATGCACTATGCTTTAAGGTAGTCTGCAGCAACAATATTTTGGGATTGTGCAAAAAAAAAATTGCAATAATTTGTGACAAGTATAGGTTACAAGGTCCACTAATGGTGAGTGAGGTGTAAAATGGTGGTGCAGGTGTTTAATAACAGTTGTTTTGGTTCTGTATATTTTGTAAATGCAGCTTTTAAGACAACCAAACATGATAAATGTGTCAGGATTCCCAACTCTTAATACATGCCAACATTAAGAGATTACTTCAAGATTACAACCAACCTACTTACCCACCCCATCTGTTATAATGGTGAAATCAGACAGCTGTTATTTGCATTTTAAAATAATCTTAATTTAAATGTGAAAACCCCCAAAATGTAGTTTGGGCTTAGGTAAGATTTCAACAAGCATCCAACTTCTTATGTAATTTCTTGGCCATTTGGGTTAGTTTTCAATTTAGACTTGCAATTGAAAGAATGTTGAAAATTCGTTGAATAATCATTTACACCAATTAATAGTTTATTGATCATAACTGTGTAAAAAAATTCCTCTCAATGTCTCATTTCACCTATTTGTTTTTTCTTGTATTGTTTATGTGGAACAGCAGCAATTTTACAGAAATTAAAGATTTTATTTTATAATCTGGTGGTTCATATTTCAAAATTATGAATTTTATAGTATTAAGAAATACACAGAAACTACAAAATATTTTCCCCATTCTTTTAATTTGTATTCACATTCAAAATTAAGTTTACCAGAATCCAGTCAAATTAAAAAAATCCAACCAGGGTAAAATGCCCAGTGATGCCACAATGCATAATTAAAATCTTGAAAAGACCTAATTCTTATAAACAAACACAAAATTTATTTTAAGGAAATCAGTGTCTCACAATGGTAAACCATAAAAGCCATGATTATTTTGTTCCTTGGCATGGTTCAGTTTATAGCATTTTACAATTAAAAACAAAGACACATAATTCTACTCACTTGACAGTTACAAAAAAAATTGCTCAAAGTGAGGTATTCCCTTTAGGAAATCACTGAAGAGTGCTGATACCAGATATAGTCAGACTGTATAAACTTAAAAGACACTGTACAAAAAAGAGGAATTATTTGAAAGGTTACTTCAGTAAAGACAATGAAGTGAAATATTTCAGCTTGGAAACTTGACTATACTTGTAATTCTGGATTGCACTGCAATGCCAACATGACATCATTAGCAACAAGCTGATACATGGTCCTCATCCCAAACATTTGCTAACATAGCAAGTTCAGGGACATATTTTCCTATTTGGACTGTGGTTAATGATGTTTCTTATATAATAAAAACAATGTCTATATACATGTGCAAACCAGAACCTCAGCAAAAAAAAAATAAACATTTGTATCAGAAATGCATTGATCAGGATTCTTCATTTAATCATACAATGGATGCAAAAATACGTACTGCACTGAAAAACTCTCCCCCAAATCATTTTCTTTTTAAATAAAGGACTTCAGCAGTATTGACTGTCATATAGCATTTAGCTAATGTTTGATTCTAACCTGTTAGATCTCCTGTCAGATAATACAGTTAATAGCTATTGCCATAGTAGCAAAGGTTATTGGTCCAAATATAAATTTACAGAAAAATTCTGAACATATCAAATCATGAAACTTACTGAGAGTTAAGTGGATATTGGACTGAATAATTACTTGCCTTCAAGCAGTGATCCAAATTAGGTACAGCTGTAACAAAGTAATCTCGAAGTGTTTAGAGAGAAATTACTGATTTTAATTTTTTTAGAAATCTATAAATATGGTTATTCTAGATGTAAATAGCCACTACATATTGATCTTGTCACTATTTAAAAAGAGTCTATAACCCTGTACCGAATCAAAAGTTTTATGTTGCTCTCAAACCACATTTCTCTCTATAATGAATATCATATGCATTATACAAAAACATGTAAAATGTTCCCTTTAAAATGAACTAAACTGCTTTAATTTGGAAGTTATAAAGGGTTGTAAACAAATCTAGAAGATGTTTGGGGTACAAAAAGTGTTGCCTATGTATAGCTCCTAAATTATAAATTCCAAGATAAGATTGTTACGAGTTTTATTGTGTAATAATTACTTACAGTAATGGGCCTTATTCTCCTAAATGTGTCATAGAAAAAAATTGTCAACAGAGGATATTTTTAAGGAATTATAAGATTAAACATATTGTAGCCCATTACTTGGGTAATCCCATCAATATAAGACAATTTTGTTTTTTGAATTGGAAAATTCAAAAGATGTTGACTTCTTTTATATCTATGAAATTGCCACAAATATTTTTTCTACAAGAATATTTACAACTTCATGTAATAGAAGAGAAGCTACAAAGCTTTAGGGAAATTATATGGATATTCCATAGTGAACAAGAAACTTGTACAGGTGGATTTATTTGAACTCTGACCTGGAGAAGATATTATTCCTTCAGACAGTTAATGGAGTTTAAGAAAAAGGCTGGTTCTAGATGATGAATAATCCCATGAGTGTTTTTGTATTACACCACCTGGATGAACTGCAGCTCACAAGATAGGACTGAGTGGTTAATACTTAGAAGACCAAAAAACCACTAAATTCAATAGGGGATTGAGTTAGACTTAAGTTTCTTAAATTGTGATAATCTTTCCAACAAAAAACAAAGCCATAAAATCAATGTTTTGCAATAAACTGAGTATATAATAGCACACTGGCTTACATTCTAGTTGGTCAGATGCAAACAACTGTATCAAGTCACTAGATTAGCGAGCTGACTGCAGAGTGATGTGAGAAGAGCCTAGGGAGACTTTTTTTCCTGGCAGTGTCAAGAGTAGATCTTGGGGGAGAAAATGGGTATGAAAGGAAAGAAGTGAAAGAATTGAAGATAAAAGTACAGTGACTGCAGGGAAAAAAAGGTATGAAAAATAATTAGAAAATAAATTAATCTCCAACAGAATTATTTGAAATACATTTCAGGAAAGTGGAAACTGCTTGGAACTGAATGAATTGGCTTATGGAATGCCACAAGTGTGTAGAGTTACAATAGTGGGAAATATGTAAAAGAATATTTGGTCGAATGATACAGTGAGAGGCAGCTGTGATTTAATTTTTTGAACAGATTTTTGCTAGTAGAATTAGGGTGTATTTCCTTGTGACTACTTCACAAGGTTAACATCATCAGAATTAAGGGAGGTTTTTTAAAACAAAGTGAGCTCCTTCATTTATCAGATTCATCTGAAACTTATCATCTAACAAGTAGACTGGTAGGAATCTCCTGTAAAAATTGTGGAATTTCATCATACAGATAATTTGAAATGCAAAGACTATCTCTGAGGATTATAACTTGTGTTCAAGACCTTCTTCCTTAACCATGCCCTTGGGTTTTGCTGAGAGTGACAACTGGAATAAGATGCCTCCACTACAACAGAATTGGGAGATGGGTATTTTAATCATATTTGGTAATCCCCTTCTAATCTATATAAAATTCCAGAGTTGAGGAACATTTGAAGATGTAATTCCAGCCTGTGAGTATGGAGAAGTTAGTTATATTCAAACTAAAGCCATGGACAATTAAAATGTCAGATGTCAGTTCTGTTTTGAAGGAGCCATATCCTAAGAACATAAAACCATTGCATGAGGAAAACTGCTAGTTACAACATTGAAAGGTGACAATAATCATATTAAAAAAACAGTAGTTTTGATAAGATTGGAAGAGTGATCAAAATCAAAGCAAAGCTGTTGCCATAAGACCCAATTTTAATTTCTGGAACATTCTGAGAAAAGATGGAACTTATGGAAATGAGAAAGTGGTATTCCCCCAAAGAAACCTGTT